CCAACGCGCGAGGTCCCAAAAGCCAGATCTGGTCGCGACCGAGTCGCAAGCCACAGGATTTCACCGACCAGCGCCTGAGCATACCGAATGCGAGAGATATCTGAGGAGGGTCGGGGTTCCAACGTCTCGGCTTCCTTACTGTAGGGAGTGGCGACCCGTCCTGTGATCTCGGGGTACTTTTCCAAAAGAGATTGAATGTAACTCTTCTGGGAGATCCATAAGCCCTCCGAGTCTTGGCGCAGCTCGAAACCGCAGAACTTCAAGCCCTCCTTTTCTGTAGCGTACACCGGTGCACTGATCCTCCAGGTGGCCTGGATGGCCTCCCAGATTGCTGAAGAGACTTCCTCATTTGCAGACAGTAGCAAATCGTCTACGTAAACTGTCAGCAGAGCAAGTAGCTCGTTGGAATGAGGGCATCGCAACATCCACATGTTCGAATCTGCCTTTGATTGCTGTAGATGCAGGGATTCACCCTTGATCTTGATCTCGATTGTAGGAAGAATTGAATCTCTGTGTTGCGCCCATGCCGCCGGAGATTCTTGGAGTCCGTAGATGGCCCCCTCCACGAGCCAAAGCTCGGACCTAAACCCTAAACCCTAAACCCAAAACCCGCCTGCATGATGGACTCATGCTTGGTGTCCGGCACTGGGCTCGGCCTTACGCCGGGCGATCCTTCGCTACTCCTGAAAGGAATCTCAAGCTTCTTTTGCTTTAAGGAGCTTTTGGGGGGTTAGGGTTTAGGGTTTAGGGTATAGGGTTTAAGAGTTTAGGGTTTAGGGTTTAGGGTATAGGGTTTAGAGTTTAGGGTTTAGGGTTTAAAGTTTAGGCCTCAGCGAAGTCCAGCAGCACTAGCTGCAGATCAGCCGGTGCCTCCAGGGCCGCATTGTCTGGCAGGATGGAGCCTCCTTGCAGCAGCCTCTGTCGGAATCGAGGCTGGCCACAGAAACTTTGCAGGCGTCGTTTCAGCGCCCCCACGGCTTGGCCATCCCATTCCTGAAGCAGGTCATTCGGAACTGCGGTCAGCTCTGCTCCAGAAGCCAAGAGAATACGCAACATCTTCGAAGGCCTTCAACTAGTCCTGAGTTCCACATGCACAATCTATGTGCTCTGACCTTAGAGTAAACCTTGAAGGGTGGAAGGATTTAGGACATGAAGGGTTCTGGTTTATGGTGAACCTGCAACAACCGAATACATTCTGGCAAGAAAGGCTGCGGCACATGAACGGACACTTAACGCTAGAAGATGCAAACGAGGGGCTCTCCAGGGTTTGGGGGACTAAATGGAGGGTGCAATGGGACAGGTGGCCGTTGCCCATGTGCATGCGCTGGGGCATCGGCCGGGGTGAGCGCATGTGGAGCCAAGGAAACGTCGAGTCACAGCCCAGGTGGATGTCGCCCCCCTGGGGCCTGTGCTTAGGGGTTTTGGGTTTACGGGGGGCTGGGTCCCTCAGGCTTCTGAAGCCAAGTTCAGACCCTGCTAGCTGACCGGGCGGGTGATGCCACGGAAGTGAGGACAGCAGATGTCGAAAGTGAGGACTGCTTGTGAGAAACACAAGCCGAGGCCTTAGTTGCCTTGGTTTCCTCACCACTACGCGTGGAATGTCGAAGGCTGCCCTAAACCCTAAAACCCTAAAACCCTACAACCTCTAAACACCCCTTAGAGCACCCTTTAAGAAATATATAACTTTGACCTGATCTTAAAAGCCCACAAACCAGCCCCCAACGTATCTCATGCCTAGCTCTAAGGTTCCTGAGGGGTTTTGGGGGCCCTAAACCCTAAACCCTAAACCCTAAACCCTAAACCCTAAACCCTAACCCCTAACCCTAAACCCTAAACCCTAAACCCTAAACCCTTATTGTTGGCATGCGCTTCTACATCCGTGATACTATGAAACTGCCAGAGTTTCCTGTCAGTCCAGTTGTGGAAGTGGCTGTCATCACTTTGCTGCAACTCATTACAAAATCCGCACTTGCCAGCACTGCTCTTTCAAAAGTGCCAGTATACCACAATACTGTCAAAACCCATCTGCCCCAACTGCAAAAATTGATAAAGTACGTTTTTTGATCTCAGAGGCTTTGTTCTTTCAAGTTTTGGATGACAAGAAGCAACACCAGCAGACGTTGCTGTTTCAAACTTCTGCCAGCATACCACAATACTGTCAATACGTCATGTTTTTTTGGATCCTTAAAGGCTTTGTTCCTTCAGGTCTAGGACGACAAGAAGCAACACTAGCAGGTATTGCACTTTCAAAATTCAGCCAGCATACCACAATACTGTCAAAACTGCTCTGCCCCAACTGCAAGAGTTGATACAACATGTTCTTTTGATCTGGAGGGCTTTGCTCTTTCAGGTTTAGGATGACAAGACGCAACACCAGCAGACACTGCTTTTTCAAAATTGCCAGCATACCACAATACTGTCAAAACCCCTCTGCCCCAACTGCAAACATTGATAAAGCACTTTTTTTTAATTTCGGAGGCTTTGTTCTTTCAGGTTATGGATGACACCATACATTGATGTGTCAAACTTTTGCCAACATACCACAATTGTCAATACATCATGCTTTTTGGGATTCTTAAAGGCTTTGTTCCTTCAGGTCTAGGACGACAAGAAGCAACACTAGCAGGTATTGCCCATTCAAGATTTAGCCAGCATACCACAATACTGTGAAGACTACTCTGCCCCAACTGCAAGAGTTGATACAACATGTTCTTTCGATCTGGAGGGCTTTGCTCTTTCAAGTTTAAGATGACAAGAAGCAACACCAGCAGACACTGCTCTTTCAAAATTACCAGCATACCACAATACTGTCAAAACCCCTCTGCTCCAACTGCAAAAATTGATAAAGCACTTCTTTTGATCTTGAGAATGGTCCCGCCCAACCCGAGTTGAACCCAGGTTAAAACAACCAGGGTGCGGCTGTCGGGGGGAACAACAACAACTCCAAAAACCCAAATTCGGAACTCAATTTTTTTTGCATCGAGCTGTTTTACCACGTCAGCGGCGCAGTAAGCGATTCAAGACAATTGCTCGTAAGAGGTGAGACAAAGTCTTAATGCAACAAAACACAGCAAACAAGGAACCAACCAGGAAACAAACACAACACGATCAAAAATCAAAAGTGAAACGCCACTCTTAGTGCTCGAAAAAGAGCAAGTAGTGGTACCAGCCCAAAGTTCGGAACTCAGGTTCCACTGGCGACAATTAGCCATCTTCGCACTGCACCAGGAGACGCGTGAGTTCAAGCAATTCGTAACCCAAATCCATCTGAACGCTGCCTGCCGCACCGAACCGAACCACACCCTTTGCAGGCACAGTGCTCAGAATGTGGGTGTGGTTTGGTGCGAGAAAAAGAAATCCGAGTTGTATATGTGGATGAAGTCCGGTGGATTTCGGAGTTGGTTCCAAGGTGGAATTAGGTGAGCGTTTTAATGGTTTTCAAACTTCTCTCAATTGTTTTTTAAGAACTGCAAAGCGCAACAGGTGCTCTCCGTGTTCACTGCAAGCTGACTTCCAAAAATCACAAATCTCACCTGACATCATGCCCATTTTCTGAAATCTTGTCAGTTTGGAGAAGAGCAGTATTGACAGTTTTGTGGCATGTTGGCTGAATGAAAAGCGCAATGCCTTTCTACTTTCTTTCGTGTGCAATTGATCGTTCGTCCGGCTGCACAAGGTTGTGGCAGTTGCTGTAATATTGGTGTTTTGGAGCATTGAATGGACTTGGCAAGTTTAAACTGGGCTTGGAAACTGGAAGCTTTCTGGCAAGCCAGAAGTCTCCCGATCTACAAGTGCATGGTGGAAGCTTGTGCGCTGAACATGCAAGGTAAGGACGACTTGCTGATTCGGAAGGCTGCCGCCTTAATTTTCCATCGTCTCTGGCACCAGGAAGAAGATTTAGCGAATAGGATTTAAGCTCCCATGGGGAGTAGCCCACGATTCTCCATCGTGTTTGAAAGAGGCTGACGGGTTTTTGGGCTCGGACCACAAACGGCCTTTGGTGGGTTTGGGGTGGGCTGGTTTGACCATGCTTTGGAAGGGCTGGGTTGGGGTTGACCTTTTTAAAAGGGTTGGGGTGAGGGGTTTGACTTGTTTTGAAGAGGCACAGGGTTTTTGGGCTGGTTTGGAGTGGTGTTAAGGCCCGTGGACCAAAAACGCTTGTTTTAAGACTGCTTTCTGGGGCTTGATTTCCACAGCAAGCGCTAGGAGACCAAGTCGTCTGTATGTAAAGAGGCGCTCTTGCCAAAAAAAGGTTCTACTTGTGGCGACAGCCACGTAATACGTAACATTGGAAAGAGGCTCCGTCTGCAGAGAAAGACCGCCCGCGAGTTTGTTGGGGTTGCGGGTAAGTGTACAGCGTGTGGCCAATTACAGTGAATGGGCGCAGTAGAAATTTTTAAACAACGTGTTGAGAACGAACCTTAGGCTCAAAAGCTGTGTGCGAGAAAATTTGCTTTGTTGATTGTGTGGGGCAGGAGTTGGTTTACCACGATTTTTAAGATAAGCCAGCCAAATGATTCCAGTTCCTCGTCCCTCAATTAGAACTCAGACGGCAAAGCGTCAGTTTCCGATAGTTTCACGTAGTTTTACGTCCGTGCCGACGGACACTTTGAGTGCCTCACGCGGTTGAAGACGCTTGATTTGTTTTGCGTGTCCATGTGGTTTCATATCTTCTTGGCCAAGAGATCATCAGTACATCTTTGACATTGTGCTCAACGTCGGCAAGACCACTTTTCAATTTTACGTCCATCTGTGGTGCTTCTTTTTTACGTTCAGTGTCCACTGAGGAGGGTACAAGGAAGTGTAAAGTGCCTCCGCCCAACAGAGTTGTTCCGCTCGCAAGAAGCCCGGCGAAGTTTTCATGCAAATACGCAGAGTTGCGGTGCAAGGGTCGACAGCGTGTGCCACGACGTGTCTCACATGATCTTTGGAGCTTCACCGACGCACCGGCTCAGACAAGAGCATAGACAGTGCAGAAGCCTCCAACGTCGATTGCATGGATGATGCTGGCCAAGCTGCTTGCTGCCGCACTCAGCTCATGCTGCGTCGCAATTCCGGTCACGTTCAAGGTGCAAGTGCTTTTTGAACAGCGCCGGTTGTGTGTCCTGCGGCGATCAGACATCGGCATGAGCAGAACTTTAGATTTCCGCTACCAAGCTGCATGCAGTTCTTCCCTGCTTCGAGATTTCGTCCCTTCGCTTGCAGTCCGCAGGCTGATTTTCGAGGGCGACAGGTGGCACCTGGAGGTCCGTATCTTGTCGGAACCTTTCAGAGCTGGAACATCCCAAATGCCATTGCCACCTGTCAGCACTCTCTGTGTGGGGTGTGGCATATTTTGGGAACGTGGGCAAGTGGAATTCAGCCAGTGCACGAAGGCTTTAACAGACGGCGACGTGGATGGAATTTACGCAGCTTTGCTGCGTTCTAATGCCGGGACCTTCCGTATGCGAGATTCTTGAAGCTGCGTTGAGCCACCTCCAGGAAACAACGCTGGATTTGGCTGCAGACTCCTATGAGAGCCTTGCATAAAGGGGTGTCCGAGTGGTTCCTGTGCATGCCTTTGCTGCCAAACTTCAATGGTTGGAGTATGTTTTGAAAATGTGTCCCCTCAAAGGCGTGACTTGCGAAACCTCAGCAGGATAGAACTTCCATTGAGTGCCCCAGGTTCAAATTTCTCAACGGCAGCGCGTGGGAACATGCGGAAATTTTGCCGCTGGCATGTAGCACCGCAGACGGCTTCGCTACTAGCTTGATTTGGGGAGACTAGCCGAAGTGCACCGGCTTGGCCAAATTTGAGGCATACTATTATGGGTACGGTGATGAGAACGCTCACCGTCGCCTGAACATTGCAGAGAATGCGACCTCCGCTGCGATGCACGCGTGTTTTAACGAAGCTTGTCTGCAAGCCGTATCGCCATGGCGCCACGCCTCTTGTGAACACCACTAATACGTACAGAAGTATACGTATTGGGACATGATGGCGCATGGTGCTTTTGAAGAGAGAACCAGGGCATGAAGGTTTTAGTTTTGTCTTGTCTTTGGGTTCCAGGGCTTGCGTCTACAGGGTGGTAGCCTTCTCAAAGAAGCGTCCATCCATCTCTGTGGTTCGAAGGAATGCGAGCCTTGTGATGCCCTTGGTCTCTGCGACGCGGCTGCATCTCCGGCAGAGGGTGCACTGCTCTTGGACCTGTCAAGAATGATATAGAATTTAGAGTCATAAAGAAGCCTAAGTAATGAGGACAGCCGAAAATCCAGACCTCCCCTGTCTGCTTTGTTAGGATCTGATGAGCCAAGGCAAAACCTACGATTGCCCCCCTTACTATGCCTTGAAGAGCAGTGCGTGGGAGCTAACCGGTGCATCAAGGGAGTCTGTGCTGCAAGGGCCAAGCTGACATCGGGGGCTGGGCTGGTTGGGGCCAAGTCGGGAAGCCAGAAGCGTCAAGTGTAGGGTTGAGGGTTGAGGGTTGAGGGTTGATGCTTGAGGGTTGAGGGTTGAGGGTTTTGAGGGTTTTGAGGGTTTTGAGGGTTTTGAGGGTTTTGAGGGTTTTGAGGGTTTTGAGGGTTTTGAGGGTTTTGAGGGTTTTGAGGGTTTTGAGGGTTTTGAGGGTTTTGAGGGTTTAGTCGTTTTAGAGGGTTTAGAGGGTTTAGGGTTGAGGGTTGAGGGTTTAGGGTTTAGCCTCTCTGCAAAATTGCGCCAAGGGCACATGCTGCGACGCGGTGGGCAGCGGTGCCTTGACCTGAAACATTCCGTCTTCCATGTCCCGAAGAACCCTATGAACCCTAATAAGCCTCAAAAGCTTAGTAACCCTAATCACCCTAAAAACCCTGATAACCCTATGAACCCTATGAACCCTAGTTGTCATTAAGAGCCCTAATATCCCGAATAGCCCTGATAACCCAAATAACCCCTCATAACCCTAACAGCCCCAACAAACCACCTAGGCAAAGGTTCGATCGTCGTGCGCAGCGCGGGGTATTCCGACGGCAACCATGCAGAGTTCTGGCTGAGCCTCTGCTGCGCAGGTCGGAGGTCTTCTGGCAGTGGCTGCTAGTGTTTGCGGTAGCTTAGCTGGGGACCCCGAAACCGAGGGATTCTGGGCCGACTCAGGAATTGGGAGCTCTTGTACTCAACGGGTGCCCGTGGCCTCACCGTCGTCGAACTGCGTCCCGGATCCCTGGGCGGGTACATCGCTGCCTCGATGCAAGAACAGTCGTAGAGAGTTCAGGGTTTAGGGTTTAGGGTTTAGGGTTTAAAGCGTGTCGGAGTGGCAGCAACAACTCCCGATTCATCACACCGGAGGGCTGCCTGCAAAAGAAATTTCTTCATGCAGGCATCCGAAAGCGCGACCCACCGGCCGGCATGGCCGAAACTTTACTCTGTATGCCTCACCAAGGTCAAGCATACGGAGACCTTTGACACTTTCTTGGATGCTCGGTGAACCCTGTTGTTGTGGAGGCTTTGCAAGTCTGCGTGTGTATGCGTTGCATTGCGCCATTTGTTTCCTTTCAGGTCCCTTCTTGCTTCTCCTGACCCATCTCCTCATGTTTATATCTTGGGCAAGCTTGCCGACAAAGGATTCGTCCAAGTTGGAAGACTACCTGTCCTCCGTCGTGGCCGGCAACCTGAAGCCTGTCCGCAAAACCCTGCCAGCCAGCCTTAAACTGTAAGCTTGGCCCTCACCCCCTGAAACGTTCAAACTTCAACTGGCTGAGGATCCTCATAGCGGCCGTGGACGAGGCTTCCGCCTCGCTGAGCCAACAGGCCTGTACACAGCGCAGTATGCAGAGTTGGCGAGTTGGCTTCGAAGTCATCGAAGTTCCTGAAAAGCCGAGGGAAAGCGGGTTTCGCGGTTTCGGATGTACGGGAGTTTGGATAATTTCGGGTCCAAGTCCAAGCAGCTCTAAAAGGTGATTGAGTTTGGGGTTCAGGGGGGTTTGGGGTTCAAGCCATTCTTGCGTCCCTCGGAGGCCTGACCACAAAATTTAGCAAAACTTTTGGACGGGTGTGGGGGTGCTTTGGGGCTCGATGGAAACGAATGCTTGCAGTGCATGCAGGGTGACTGGGGTGTGTGGATTTCTGGGCAGATCCAAGGACATCCGAAACATCAGGCATGCAAACTTCAAGAGCTTGCACAAGGACGTGACTCAATCTAGGGCCACCAGCACTATGCTGTGTTCTTTGTGGTGCTTTACTGTAACTTCAGATCCTTAGCCTTTTTGGGTTTATTGGGTTTCTTTATCAGGCAGCTAGAAGCTCAATTTTTACTACCCTCCTAAAGTGCAGCCAAGTGTTTCGCTTGGTATGGCCATCATTCTCTCCGTTTTCTGATGCCCACAGGAATATGTTCTGTGCGCCGAAGCAATTTTTAATGGGGCTTTCTGCATCCTCAAGTCTCTAGCCTTTATGGCTGCAAAGAAGGTTTAGGGTTTAGGGTTTAGGGTTTAGGGCTTAGGGCTTAGGGCTTAGGGTTTAGGGTTCCTGGTATGGTCATCAGCCTGTATACCCTGCCAAAGCAGGCAAAAGCATTGATGGCGACCTGCGGGGCCGTGTCCATCCAGCAGATGGCCTTCAGGCCAGCTTCTTGCACAGCGGTCGACTCAACACCCCCTGAACCCCCCTAAACCCCCCCTAAGCCCCCTTAAACCCCCCTCAACACTCTAAACCTTTTTGGCGCAAGCCAGAATGGATGGGCCGAATCTTGCAGGTGCGTTGGTACCGCATAAGAGCCAGAAGCCCCTCTTCCAGCAAGCCTGAAGTTGACTCGGCAACTCCTGTTTGCCCTTCGAACATGTGAGAGCCCTCCGGGCAGGCTTTGTAGCCGAGCCAAGAGCCGGGAAACACCAACGCTCGCTTGTGCTAACGCCGGCGAGCATACCGCGTGAAGCAGAAATCTGGCCCGAAACGAGCTTCCAGGCCCGAAATCTTCAATGCAACAGCCAAAATGCACCACGATTGGATCACAAAGGCAGCCAAAAGGCAGCTTGCCAAAAGGTGCAAGGGGGCTGCAACTCGACGAAACCCACTAAAGATCCGCCCAAGCTTTGGACCTGAACTCTACGATGCAAACTCGGCTGGCGTTCCTGAGGCCCAGGGCTTTTCTCCCACGCGCGGTTTTGCCTGGACTGGTTTGGTACTGAGCACAAGTCTTGGTACGTGTCTCGTCATAAACTTCTTCATGATATTGGCTGAAAATCAAGGACCCCCATACAGGACCCTAAATAGCAGGATCCTTCTTATAAAGGACCCAACAGGGTACCGCTGATTTCTGAGACCTCCACATGTGGAAGGAGCCGTGAAGTGACTGCCCTGAGGAGCTCGTACGCGCTCATCGGACAGAAAGGTGGGAGTGCCTTGTCCGAGGCCAGCCGCGAATCCTTCCATAGGGTTTAGGGTTTAGGGTTTAAGGTTTAGGATTTAGGGTTTAGGGTTTAGGATTTAGGGTTTAGGATTTAGGGTTTAGGGTTTAGGGTTTGCAGAGTAGGGACAGAGAAGCACATAGATAGGGATCAACAAACACATCAGTGTAAAATGAACAAAGATAAGGATCAGAGGCACTGGCCGTTTGCAGGAGCGACTTTTTCAGTCCGTAAGCAAGGAACATCGTCAAAGCACGGGCATTTCCTTCCGAAGCTGCTGAGCGATTTTCTCCGGATGTCTAGTCTATTTGTGAGTTGATATTCGTCCGCAAGCAAGTTGGGCCCACACATTTAAACCTACTGACCTCACTCTAGTGTCGAACCATTTTGCTTTCCGCCAGCGCTGCCGTGATCGCCCTTCTGGATGCGCAGCACAGAAAACACACACAACTCAAAAACACGCTGATCTAGAATCAACGATGCACCTTTGCCCCGATTCAGGATATCTCGCGTGAAGGGAGTGGAAGTGTCGTCGCAGCTGCGACGGTTACGCTACCAGACTCTCGCCTTGGCTTTTTGAGCCGTCGCAAGCCCTCCCCAGAATTAACCCTAAACCCTAAACCCTAGACCCTAAAGTGCATTGAGGAGAAGCTGCCACCTTTATGCCACATGGCAGAAGCAGAGTGCGTTTCGTGTCGCTGTCCTGCCGCAGGGCCATTGGCCCATGTGTGCTCATGCTCAGTGTCGGAATGCCCACTGCCTTTATGCCATTACTCAGCTAGAGACCCTAAACCCTAAACCCTAAACCCTAAACCCTAAACCCTAAACCCTAAACCCTAAACCCTAAACCCTAAACCCTAAACCCTAAACCCTAAACCCTAAACCCTAAACCCTAAACCCTAAACCCTAAACCCTAAACCCTACACCCTAAACCCTAAACCCTACACCATGCAGACCTTAGGCAAGATGTTCAACTGCTTCTGGGGAGCGCTTACGTATGTGCTGAGAGCTGACGCCTTGGAGACGCCCGGTAATTCTCTCGCACCTTCTCCGAATTAGGGCTTAGGGTTTTAGGAGGGTTTAGGGTTTAGGGTTTAGGGTTTAGGGTTTAGGGTTTAGGGTATATCGTTCCCTTTGGTTCCAGGCCTGTCGTGCAATCGTTTCAGCTTGCTGGTGGTGAGGAAACTTGCTGCGAAACAGCTGGTGCTGGTACCTGGGCAGGAAAAAGGTGTCCACCGTCCTCTGCACAATGCTCGCAGCACGCGCTTGAGCAGAGGCGAGCAGTCTTTGGTGGTACGAAGCGCCGGATATTCAGACGGGAACAGAGCTGAATTCTGGTTGATGCATGGCGACACATCTGTTTCCGGAGTTGGTCGGTGCATTGCTGGGTGAATGGATTCTTCATGTCTTCATGTGGCATGCCGCGCCCTGAGCTTAGGAATGGTCAGAAAATCTATGCTACCCGTACGCGGGGGCTCACGATCGTGGACCTGTGGCCGAACATGACGGCGACTTTGAAGGGTTAAAGTCGGCTTGTGAGACTTCGTCACTCGCACTCCACAAGGTGAAGCACAAGGAGACCTTCGACACCTTTACGGATGCTCATCTGCACGGTGGTGTGTCTTCAACTTGCACGAGTGCGTTTCGGCAGATGAAAGGACTCGTCGTCTATGGTTGCATACCTGAGCTCAACGGCCAATGGCAACGTGTCCCGAAGCAGCAAGCAGATGTCAGCTTGTGAGAAGCGAAGTTGGGCCAGAGCATCAGGGATCATCAGGGTGTGTTCGTCGTCTGTGCCTAAGTTGTGTAGCCCAAGGATACTGGTCGGAGCAGTGGATGAAGCTTCTGCAGCCTTCAGCCAAGAGGCTTGAAATGCCGGTCGATCGTGTAGACACGGGCAAGGAGCGCATGTTAGATGCTCCCAAAAGCACCACCTGAGCAGCATCTGTGCGCTTCCCAAAAATTTTCCGACAGAGGCGGAAAACGCTCTTCGCGAGTGCGGTGCCACCTTTCCCCAGCCGCTGTCCTTTCGGACCCTGAGTTGCATCAAGACCGTCAAGCGTGTCCAAAGAGGAGACTCTTATATTAAAATTATACTCTTGCTCTCTCTCTCTCTCTATAGTAAATGATATATCATGTGTCCGGCAAAGAGTCCACAACTTAACCCACTTCTACTGCGGCCCTGTTCCAGTTGCCGTGTCGAACTGCGGGTCCCATGACAGCCGTAGCGACCCAGACGTAAACATTCCAAGGAGTGCCTACGCTCTCATCGGCATCAAGGGCGGAAGCAAACTCTCAGAGGCGCTGCAACGACAGAAAGCGCTTTCAGCAAGTGGGGGTTCCAGAAACTAGGGGTGTGCTGCTGTCCTTTAATTGAGATCTAGATGAATTCTTTGAAGCCTTCATGAACCATGGCATGCTTGAGTGTCGAAGCAATCATCCTTTTTTTCATCTTCAGTTGCTTGGCTTCGCGAAGAGATTCTTGGTTGTCAGGCGGCGCAAGTAGAAGGAGATGGATACGCAGTGGCGGTCGCTGAAGTGAAGAAGCCCGTGCCTGGACTGATAGTCTTTCCTTCATCTGGGGAGAGAAGGACCCTAAACCTGAACCCGAAGCCCTTGGACCGATCCTTGGGGCTGCTTTTTCAATGTCACATACTTGTAGTGGCTGCGAGGTTCACAGTAGCAACAGCACGGAGCCCTAGGCTTACGGTAGCCTGTATCATGAGTAGAGCCTTTGTAGCAACCCTTGTCACCTTCTTTGCCCTTGCGACTTCAAGGAGCCGGTGGTGACCATGTGCCGCGCGGTAGGAAGCTGGCAATTTCGATTTTGTGTGGGGGTAGGGCACCAGGGTGTAGGATTTTGGGTTCAGGGGCTTGAGGGTTTTAGGGTTTAGGGCATAGGCTTTAGGCTTTAGGGTCTATGGGACTTCCAGACAAGCCCCGGTACGACCCCCCAAGCCCTGCTTGCTGGGTTGGCCTGTCCTCAGCGCCCATTGCGCACATGAGGCAAGATGTACAACTGCCCTTCTGGATATGCGCTTCGCGCCGATGCCATGGAGACCCTCGGTGCATCTGTCGTGCCCTCTCCGCATTAGGCAGCGTCTGTTGGTCCCAGTCTCTCGACGCTCGTGATGAGGAAGCTTGCTGTGAAGCAGCCGCTGCTGGCACCTGGGCTGTCATGCAGACGTACAAGGTTCAAAGATTCAAAGATCTGAACACATGTGTCCACTGGGTTATCAGCAGAATGCTGGTGGCGCGGGCTTGGTCTGAGGCGAGCAAGCTTTGGTGGTACGAAGCGCCGGATATTCGGACGGGAACAAGGCTGAGTTCTGGTTGATGCGTGGTGGCAGAAGCTGTTCTCCCGGGGGTGGTCGGTAAACTGCCCAAGGGGCACAGGAATGACGCGTGGTTAGTGACATGCCTTAGGGAGCGGCCCTCAGGTTTCCCCACTGTGACGCTCAGGAATGGTCAACGGCTATATGAGACTCGTAAGCGCGGGCTTACAGTCGTAGACCTGTGGCCTAACATGACAGTGGCTTTGATGCAAATGCAAGTCTCACTGAGTCTCGGTCAGGTTTGAAACTTCATTGCCTGTCTAGCTGCTGTCCTCCATGAGGTGAAGCACATGGAGACCTTCGATACCCATGCGGATTCTCGCCTGTTTCCATCTCTCAAGCTTGTTGTTTGTGCATCGTTGCAAATGAAAGGATTCTTTGCCCATGGCTGCATACCTGAACTCAACGGCCAAAGGCAACGTGCTCCTCAGCAGAAAACAGACTTGAATCAGGTTGTCCATGGTAGTGACTCATATAGTATCCCTTCTAGGAACCCTTATTGTGCTCGCTGTAGTAACCTGTATAGTGCCTGTGATCCTTGCCGCTTGCGGCCTGTCTGCAGCTGCCTCATGAAGGTTTGTGTGGGGTTACTTGTCGGGTTCCTAAAGGGATACTACACTACAAGGATACTGGTCGGAGCAGCAGACGATGCTTCCGCAGGCATGAGTTGGGAGGCATGGGATGAACATGATCGTTGGTTTCAGACTTTTGCAAGAAAGCGTTCTTCAGCCAGATGCACCGATCTGGGTCAACTTTCAGTGGAGGCAGCGAACCAACTTCGCGATTGCGGTGCCACGTTTCCCCGCCCAATTTGCTTCCGGCCGTTGGGCAGCACAGGGAGACAGGATACAGAGATGTAGCCCAGTCGAGACAGGCGCATTGCACAAAGGTGTTCCTACGCTCTCATTGGCATCAAGGGTGGAAGCAAACTCGCGGAGGTGCCTGCCTTCTTCCGCACAGCGCTCTATGCATCACTGTGTTGTTGAGGAGATGATGGAGTGAAGGTACCCATGAAAAACACATGCCGGAAAGAATCCTTGCTATTTGCAGAATTGCCCCAGGTGGGAACGGCACCAGGAAAGGGGAAAGCTGTGGCTGTCGGCGTGCTCGTGCCTGAGCTCGGCCCTCATTGCGCAGCCTCTGGCTGCTTCCAAGACCCCTAAACCGTGAATCCCTAAACCCAACCCTAAATTCTAAACCCTGAACCCCCCAAAACCCTGCTTTGCTCTGAGGTTACTCAGGTTCCTGCCTGTGGATGGAGGCGTGAACCGTGCCTGCCGGGGGCAGTCACCCGGGGACAACAGCGGCGACCACTACGTTGCACTTCGGCGGCTTGTGGTCCCAGGATCTCCCCCTTTAAAGGTTCAGTGCCTCTTCACAGGGATCTGTATAGAGTTCTGTGATTCTATAAGGGTTTAGGGCCTTTAGGGTTTAGAGTTTGGGGAGGTTTAGGACGGTTTAGGACCTGGGGCTTCGACCTCCTGGTTGCTATGCTTCAGGTGGTCAATGGCATCGAAACGCTCCAGGCCTGCAAGATGGAGTGCATCCGGGCAGAGGCCCAATGCAACCTTCACAGTCAGTCCTTAACGCGAAACCCGAAACCCCAAACCCCAAACCCCAAACCCTAAACCCTAAACCCTAAACCCTAAACCCTAAACCAGGCATGTGTTGGCATCGAGCACAAGGGAAGCCGCTGTGAAGTCTGGACACGGCCAGGGGGTGTCCAGGCCTCCATTTACCTGGCAGCTTGGCTTGTGGTTTAGGGTTTAGGGTTTAGGGTTTATGGTTTAAGGTTTACGTCGAGGGTTTCGAAATGGGTTCCATAAGCTTACTAGAAGGCTCCTGTCCTTGTGCTCGCAAACTCAAACACACCTGCTGTGCCCAGTACGGCTTTACGTGCCTGAGCTACACTCAACCTCTTGCATCAACGGCGACGACAACGATGGCCTCGACTGCAACGACCAGTACAAGGAGCCGCAAGCTGTGACCAGAATCTGGGGTTTCGGGTTTAGCGTCCCTCTTGGGCCTTGCAATCTGGTAGAGCACTGTAAGAAGCCTTTCTTTGATCGTTCACTTTCGGGCTTGGATTTCAGAAGCAGAAAGATTGAGGCTCTCTACCGTGTAGTCACCAGAGGCCTCTTGGAAGTACGGGCTTCGTAAGATGAGCCTCGGGCGGGCAGAGTTGACAATGCCCACAACGCTTCTTGGAGTTCTCCATTCGCCTGTCAGCTGTCAGCTAGCATGTGTCAAATACAGCTGAGTTAGCAGCACTTCGCAGCTGCTTCGAGGGTGCCAAAGGACATGCTGGTACTGCTGTATTCAACTTACCATGCTGGTGTATAGACGTTTTCGGAGTGTATGCAGTGCATTCACCGCACATGAGTGCACGATGCATGCAGGCATGCGAAATGCAGCACTCTCTTTGCCTCGGGTCGCTTTCCATGCTTGTCTTGTCCCTGCGCTTTATCCTTCAACATACAATGCACTAGTATTTTTTCGAAGTGCCAAGATGACTGAGCTTGTCTCGCCTTCGCGACAAGCTGCTGTAGCAAGCTCTGAGTGTGTGTGACAGGGCCACCACGACACGTTTCGCGGCTGTGGACGGTGGGATCAATCGAGCATGCCGCGGGGCATCATCTTCCGACAATGCTGCGTCCCACTACACCGTCATCTCAGGTCGTGGGGAGAGATCTCTGCAAAACCCTAAAACCCTAAAACCCTAAACCCTAAACCCTAAACTCTAAACCCTAAAACAGCAGTCGCTCTTGTGGCAGAGACGGGCAGGCATCCAGGAGCTTGGCGATTGCCAAACTGAGTGCATTCAGGCGCACTTGTTGGGGATTTTGTGGAGGACATTTCTGGCGCTTGGATTCCATCTCCGTTTTGAGGTTGTTGGCTGTGTGGGCATCGAGTTCAGCAAGGGCAGATGTGAAGTTTGGAGCCGTCCGGAAGGAATCCAGGCTTCGATTGCAGCTTTGCTTGCAAGACAGATTTGTCCGCCTGCTGCACGGATGAGAGGGAAAGTGCAGCAGCTTGAGGCATTGAATGGCTTCACCTGTCAACGTCGCGCGGCTGCTATGCCCCCCAAAACCCTATTCCAACAAGGCCCCTATATGGGGGTTTGCGAAATTAGGGGACCCCCCAAAATAGATAACTAGTAGTATTTTCAGAGAATAAGGGTACCCCTCATGTCGGAAACCCCCATAATGTGGATGCAGGTTTGGTCTCAGCAACCCGTCGGCTGGGCATGGTGCTTCTGCCCTGAGCTATGGAGAGTTTAAAGTAATTCAGAGAGGCCGTGGAAGTGGGCGAGTTGGTCATGCCTTGATTTCCGCCGAAGGCGGACGAACAGGGCGATCATGTCCATGCCCGATAGCACGGCACTCTTTTATGTAAAATGCATCCGACTGTTAAGGGAGAGGCGAAAAGGGAGATGTTAAATTCTCTCTCCTGCGGAGCATCTGAGTTTTGTAGGGCGTGGCCCTGGAAGAATCTTGCTTACAAGCTCACAGTAGCTTGGTAAACCCTTCGAGCCAAGCGCGTAGCAACCGTGCCTGTGCACGAGGGGGGCTGTGAAGTACACGCCAACGGTCGTGCAGTGGTCCATACAGTGCTGTACAGTGGAAGACGCTTCGTGGTGGTGGCAAACTGCTTCAGCATGTTGCCAAATCACTGGCTATTTCTAGTCTCAGTAAGCCAGCAGCTCACCAAGTAGCTGAGCCCCGTGCAGCGTTGGTCGTGAAACAAAATAGTAGTACCGTTGTTGAAGCTATGCTCCCTGCAGCGTACAAAGCGCTTTGGGCAACCCCTGCTGGCACTGCAAAGCTGGACCGAAGGCCTCCGCAGGTCTTCGACCTACCGGTTTGTCGGCCCAGATCCGCCATGCAAATGATCATGGCAAGCAGGGATTGAAGCTGTCCACACGGACTAATCCACAGTCAAAGCACGTCTTCAGTCAGAGCTGTCCAAGAAGGTCAATGTCGTCGATCTTGGCGATTCTAACTTCTGGCAGTAGTTGTTCTTTGGTGATGTTTTACGACATAGCAGCGCGTCAGCTGTTCCATCGAAGGCAGGGCTGTAGCAGTTACAGCAAGAAGTGAAAAAGTGGACACCTTTGTGAGGCAAGCTGCATGTACCTTGGAGCTGCCGGAGCGGCAGGCCGGGATGCGTGGTTCAAGACACTTTGCAATCAGTTACAACTATCTTTGCGTCCTGTGTATTCTGAATTCTTGAGTGGAAGGTGATGGAACTTCAAAAATGAAACAGCTGCCTAAGATGTTCTTCATGTCTTTCCTAGGTGCTAATTTCGACGCAGGTTCCGTGAATTCTTCGAACCTTACAGAGCCCACCTATTTTCGAGCCCGATCCCGAGACACGTGAGTTTTGCTTTCTCGGGTCGCATCAAAGTTCCATGACAGAAATGCCGGTTTGCACTACACCGGCAGAAGGGTGGAATTTCATAGAGGCAAATCATGTTGATCCATGTCCGATTAGCTAGCTCTTTGGTGCAGGCTCCAGAAGTGTTGTGGTTTGATGATGGTATCGCTGCTTACAACTGCATTATTGAGGCTTGAAGGATTTTGTGTCTTTTCTCTTGGCAAGGAAACAGTCGAAGCAAGCGTCCGGCTATTGCAGTTGCTCGCTGAAACTGTTGGGACTCAAGCCAAATCACTGTTTTGACGTTTGCAGCAAAATGCAGCAACGAAGAGCTACGTTGCCTAAGTTGAAGTACAAGTCCAAAGTGTTACACGCCAAAGTTTCGGCATCCATCATGAGCGCACGGGCCCCTCGCAAACGGCTGCGAGGGAAGACTTCCACGGGAGCTGGCGGGCTCCTGAGTGCAGTGCCCTTCTTCGAGGATGTGGCCGCGCCTTTGACGATTGTGGACTTAGCCCGGCTGGCTGTCACCAACCGACACTTCCGTGCAAAGCCGTGGCCGCGGCTGGCCATTCCATGGAGGCAAGCAGCCTGCCGCCTGCGTGTGCCGAAGGAGGAGCTCATGCCTTTGCTCGACCGTCTTGGGGGAAGACTGTGGGGACCCGTGCGAGTGCGTGCGGCAGCGACGGCCGTTGGATCTGCAGACTTCTCCCGGCTGGTGGCGTGGGCTGAGGAGGATGCGCATCGTGCAGCTTGGATCCTTACGGCCGTGCTTTCAGGCTGGTGGAAAGACATCGATGGCCACAGCCATACCGTGCGCTCATTGGCTTCGGCCTTGACCGCGCAGGTGCGCTCTGGGCACTTTGTGCCTTTGTCCACCGCGTGCCTTGTGTCGGCGATGATCCGCCGAGGCGACGAAGCAACAGAGGAAGTCGACGCAACGCTGAGCCAAGCAGGAATTGCTGACGTGTTGCTGCGCTTGCTGCAAGATGGCCCCGTGATCGCACAGAGAGTTGCGCTGGAAGCTATCTGCACTTCTTGTGAGTGGGGCTGCGACCCGCTCAGCTTCATACCGAACGGTGCTGTTCCAGTTGTCGTCTCCATCGCTCAGGCCGGTTGTAGTGAGAACATGCTGGCAGCTTTGAGAGTACTGGGCAAGTTCGGTGAAGGTGAAGCCGAGTTCCCCGAAGTTGTGTTTCCTCTGCTTGTTGATCTCCTGGCCCATGAATCCGACGACGTCAAGGAGGAGGCTACAAGTGCTCTCTGGTTCATTGTGCACAATCGTGAAAGCTATGCTCGCCAAGCATGTGAGCATGGCTGTCTCCCGAGCTTGCTGGCCCAATTGCGCAACCCGAAGATCTTGCTTCAGCATCCTCTGTTTTGCCTGGAGGCCGTGCTGAAGCTGGCATCGATGCGGCCCGTGGCCGTCAAGCTGGGGCTGATTGAGCTCTTGTTTCAGAGCCTTGAGGAGGAGGAAGACGGCTTCCATCTTGAAGTCATCCTGGAACTTCTGGAGACATGTGCCGCCTACGTGCCACAGGCGTTGCAGCAGCTTACGCGGGTCCGCAGAACTTCGACAGTTCGAAGGATCGTAGCCATAGCAAGGATGCCGGAGCGTTCGCATGGGGCAGAGGCGAGGAAGCTGCTTCAGCTCCTTGCCCAAGCAAACCCGCATATGACCAGGTTGATTCGGCAAGCAGGCTACCAACTCTGAGCCACAACCGGAGCTTGGGGCTTGGCTAGGTAATCGGGGGGATTCTTGTGGGGTTGGGGCATGTGCCAACACATGCCGCAGGCAGAGGCCACCGGCTGCTCATGGAAAGAACCGAGGGTTTGCAATTTGGAGGTTAGGGGCTTGGGGGCTGGACTTGGGGCAGTGAGGGCTTCAGTCTTCCGGGTGGCTTAGCTGCCCAATGTACGCCTCTAGGCCCCCGAAGCCTGAATCCGAACAGCAGTCGAAGCCCGCGGCCGAAGCCCCGAAGCCCTGAACCCTAAGTATGAACCACCTGTAGGGTGTCAGAGTATGTAACTCAATGTTGCGAGCGTGAAGAATCTGAGTGCTACTGGATGTGAAGCTGTCGGGTTTGGGGAACTCGTTGTTGCCTAGCTGCATGATGCAATGTTTAGATTTCCTTGCACCTCATTCGCAGTGTCGATACACTTGTGTTCGTTTGTTATGTCTGGTTTTCTGCTACCCTCGAAGAATCTTCTGTGACAAGGCCGACCGGGGAACCTACTCGTGGACTGGGCCATTGCCCTGGCAGTGGCTGTGCACTGAAGGTTACATCTTCCGCTTTGGCTTGATTTCTTGGATGTTTCTTTCGCCCTTCAGCTGTTGGTTCCACTTGGTGAGCTTGCCGGAGTTGGATGCCGTCTTCTTGATGCGCGCAGCAGAGTGTGCACACATGGCACGGAGAGCGTATTCATGGATTGAGAGAGGCGCACTGCAGGTTGAGATGATTCGGAATGTTGTGGCAAGAGGGCTTGCGCCTTTTTACCATGTGTGCGGTACCGGTAGCTGCCTCGGGCTGAACGACCAAGGACCTTGATCAGATGGAGGAGGTGCACTGTCCAGTGCTGAGATCCTTCAAGTCTTTGCTGGACGCGGGAACTCAGTATGGTTGTGTCAGGTGTCAGCCAAAGATATCTGATCAGGCCCGCGACTAGGAGCTTTGTTTCCCCCAAGTGGGCCGTGTTGTTATGACTGTGATGTGCTGGGAGATGGCTGGTATGATCTTTGCCAAGCTTCGCTTAGGGATTCTTGGCGGCATCTCGGGATTGAATGGCTGTGAGTGCGAAGTGCATCCTTTGTTCCACTCTCTCTCTCTCTCTCTCTCGAAGGCGAAAAGCGAGTCCAAGTCTAGACCGCCTGTCAGCAGCCCTGTCTAGCAAGCGGGCTCCCTTCCAAAAATTTTACCGAGGGTGACTGGGATCGGTCTTGAGATAAAGGTTGTAGTGCGCGTATCAAATCAGTGTTTCCAAACCAGTGTGAGTGGAGGGCCGCAATATCTTGTCGACTGGGTTGCGTATAAAAAGCATGAGAATGTTCATATACCCTAGGCGGATCTAGGCGGCACGCGATTCTGAAGCAGATACTGCTGTCGAGTATAAGCCTCTGTCATGGCGAGCTCGGCCCAATGTATTCTGGGCGCTCCGACACGTCGTTGAGGAAATTGTATATAATTGTGGGAGGCGGATTCGCGTCAGACGCTGAGTTGGCACGTGCCTCATCTTCAACAGAATTCCCCGCAGATTGTTCACAGCCAGCATGTTCGGTGCAGGCGATCTTGAGATGCTGGGGCATGCTGATATATGCTGACGGAAGGTTTGGAGGCTGGCGCGTGAAGCACCTCTTTGCATCAGAGAGAGAGCGCGGGAGAGAGGAACAAACACTGGACCAACCAGACTTTGACCGGACCACTTGGCCGTCGCGGCCGGGTTCCCTCTCCAAGGCCTAAAGTGCGTAGAAGAAGAAGAGGAAGAAGAAGGAGGATGGAAGAAGAAGAATAAGAAGAAGAAGAAGAACACTGCACGGGGAGATGGCCTTCTGCCTAACCCTCAGAAATGAATGGAAAAAGAGAGAGGGAGGAGAGCGTGCCCGTGCGTGTGCGCGCGTGCAGCTTTTTTGAAGCTGTGTTTTTGGGCTATCGTAGTCATCCAATCGAAAATCTCTCAAGGAGCGAGTTGGAGAACCAGGAGTTTATTCAGGCACAAACCGATGAGGGACGAGGGCGCGAGGGCTGAGCGACGAAGACTGTGGGCGCAGGCCTTTGTTCATACCATTTCAACAACAAAGATTCGGAGCAAGATGCTGTGGCTTAGTGCAGCCGCCCTTGCTTATGTTGAAACCTGGGAGCCATGCCATGCAGTGGGACTGGGACTCACTCAGGGATGGCAGCTGTTCGTGCCAGGACTTGTGCCTGCCAAGTGCGAGGAGAACCTGAAGAGACGGCCTCAGATCATGCCTGCGCAGTGAAAGAGAGTCGTATGCATGGTGTGCCGATCGCTGCACGAGGGCAAAGCACTTCACAGTGCCACGACTTCAGCAGGGCTTTGCTTATGCGAACTCTGTGTGTGGTCTTGCCAAGAGGCCTTTCTCATGAGCTCTTCTGCGCGCCTTGTCTGCATCTTTCTTCCAACTTTGTGCTGCGGAGTGCAGAAGCTGACTTGCCAGAGGGAATTGAGAGCGGAAGTGCAGGTCTTGATTATCAGATCCAATCAATCCTGATGTGGTGGATGACCATGTTTTCAGCGGTGCTCATGCAGGCGCATTGCGTGTCCACTGTTTAGCTCCTTGCAAAAGAACCTCTCCAATTTCACACCTGGTGCTGCTCCGTCAGCCAACGATCTCAACTTTCGAGTCGCTGACGTCAGCCAATGCAGCCGAAAGCAGCCGAAGCAATGCAACAGAAGTCGTAGCACGTCTTCAGTGCAGGAGCCTGAGACGTCGCAGGCGAACCCACATTTTGCCTCACACACAGGACGCAAGAACCGACGTGACCGAAAGAACAGAAGAAACACAGCGGCCGAGCCCTGAAACAGAATCTCTAAAATCATGCCTTTACCGCAGCGAAACTGCAAAAGCGCGCAATGCAAGACGTACGTTCTCATGCACCTCCCTGAACTTCGTTGCCTTCGCGACGGCTCCTCCAAACGCAACCTTCTCAAACCAATGTCGTCGTTTTCCTATGGGACGAAAACATCTGCGCCGGAGCGCAGGTCGTTTTGTGGGGCGTGGCCTGTTTTTGGGCGCCGTCCCAGGCAACGAAAAAGCACAGTCCTTCAAGGGATGCAGATGTATGCGGCATCCGTCTGGGGATCAGCGCTGTCATGCGCAGTCTGGGTGTTGACATTTTGTTCTTGGTGTCGTGCCGAGGATGAGAGCTGTCCTTGTTTGCTCGTACCGTCTACTCTCTCACTCTGAAGGTTAACTCTTGCTGTTTACTCTAGATGCAAAGCCAGCAAAGCCGTGAAGTTCATGGCGCTGCAAACGTGGTATCATGCTTGTGGCCAGCCTGCAGAAGCTGTGCAAGGCAATCGACAACCCTTGAAGGCTGTTAACTGCATGAGCCAGCGCCGCCGAGACGTTCTCTGGGGGGTCAGATCCCACACATTCATCTGCGTGTTTCCGGCGACTTGATTGTGGCTCCTTAAGCAGTAACCCACTTGCTTTGCCATTGACCAAACTAGATCCAGCAAATCCCAGCAGTCCTGGTTGAGAAGCATGCACGGCAGCCCTTCACGACGGTTGGGGAGGTTCTCACGAAAGTAGGAATTCAGCCGCATCCAGTCATTGTACCTGGTCACGTAGATCCAAGGACTCTTGGTAACAACTGGCCTGCAAATGACATTTGGATCAAGGTAGCCATCTGTCGTCACCACTGTCAGACATGGATGTTGGGGATCAACACGTCCCTCCTCAGCATCCTGAACCAAAACGTCAACGAACATGTCGATGCTCTTGAAGAGGTCGATCTCGATGACGTGGTCAAGAAGCTCCTGCAGCACCTGTCGAGTCGAATCAGTGCAGATCGCAGTCTTGACGACCTTGATGAAGGTGGTGACGTGGCCAAGGACTGTCTTGTAGCTCTCCGCGCTCCTTGCTGGCAACAGACTTTCCACCACACCTCGAAACAGTTCCCGAACCCTGACATCAGGAAATCCGTATGGGCTGGAAGGTGCTGCGACTGCCGCCAAAAGGATAGCTGGCACTCCAAATTCCACCCACGCAGCAATGTTCGCATTCGTGGCGACCATCCCTTGCTCTAATCGTCCAGGAAGAGGTTGCCCTCTCAACGATCGCAGCGCATGGCACGTCGTGCGCAATGCAGTCATCCCATTGCCAACGGGAATATTGATGCCCGATCTCTGGTACGGAAGGGAAAAGTGATCTTGAGGTCGCGACCATGGAACATGCGGAGGAATGGGCCTCTGCTGTTGTCCGTCCATGCTGGTTCTAGGACCGGCGGAGCCGAGTCCCTTCCCCAGATGCAGGTCCGAGCCGGCGTAGCCGAACCCCTCACTGCGATTGGGTTTAGGGCCGGAGGATCCGAACCCCTCTCCCTGTGTAGGACAAACAGTTACACAAATGCCTTGAAACTTGTTCTGCACCTGACTGTTATTGCAACGCAAACTGACATGAACCAGCACACATGCAGCTGCCACATGAACACTTTGAGCAGAGGCCCTGCGGATGTTACGAGCTTCGTCACGCCATGCAGTGTGCAACAATTTCGCCATGTATGGTGTGTAGTTTCCTGCCTCCTTGAGCGCCTGACCTCTCGGTGTACCGTGTGCATGCGTGTTGTCGCATGTGACCCCTTGGAGGTTCAACATAGTCGACACGTTCGTAGCAATACACCATGCTTTGAGTAAAGGAATGCCGTCCTTGTCAACAACACCCATCATGCAACCATCCATTCGCGCGACACGCAACGAATGTTGTTTTATGAGGGCTTGGACTTCGGGCCAACTCCAATACAAACACGTTTTAGGCAACTCAAAAGCGATTTTGGGGGAAAATACCGCCAGCTTAGAGCTTTGAGCAAATCCCTGAATTTCTTCCGATGTTCGTTTCCCTTTTCAGTCAAGTGCCATCGCAAGAGCTCTACGAAGGGGCGTGTGTCTCAAGCTTGGGGAGTGGCTGAGACCCCGGCAAGGTGATTGCATCCGCATTTCCGGTTCCGCAGGACCGGGCAGAACAGAAGCATCAGGTTGGAAGAGCTAGACCTCTGGGATTCGAGCGAAGGTGCAGCTCAACTTGCCACGGCCACGTCTACGTCTGCGCCGAGGGGCCTAACACAATGGCACTGCGCTGCTTTAGCTGGTCTCTGGTGCTTTCCTGAACCCTCCATTCCTCAGGTCGTCGCCAGGCGATCTGTTCCTACATCCACAGCTGCTCCACGGCATGCAGGCGCCGCTCCTCAAGGCGCTCTCTGCGAGGTGGGGCAACCCTAAGCCCTAAACCCTAAACCCTAAACCCTAAACCGTGAAGCTGTACAGTGCGGGGTGGGAGGGGGAGGGGTGGGGGGCGTTCGGGGAATGGGGAGTCTAGCCAGTGTTTTGCAAATGCTCTGCAATCAAGCGCCGGGATGCCGTGGGGCGTGTTTCTGGGGATGGCAAGTTTGCACAAGAGTGCACTTTGTAGACTGTATTGGTATGTTTCAAGCGCCGGGTGCTACGGATGAGGAGTTCACATCGAAATGCGTTTTTGCAAATGCTCTGCCTGGATTGAGCGTGCCACTCGCAGGTACAGAAGGCTGGAAGTTTCATGTTAGGGGGTCGCCGGAAGGCAGTGGAGAGCCATGGCCAATGAAGACATTTCCAGCGGCCTTGCGTAAACGTACACGCCTAGTCCTAGATTGAGCGAGCACTGAGCACGCTCAATTCTGTGTGAACTTCGACACTGGCACCCCAAACTCCCAAACAGGAACCAAATGCGGGGGGTTGAGGATGGGGGAAGGGATGGGGGCAGGTTGCTTTGGCTTTTCAGGCTCGAAGAAGGTGAGAGGGTCAGGCCCGGATCGGTGGGGCCCAAGTAGGGAGACGAAAAAACCGAGCAGAAGTCGCGTGCGTAGTGTCCCAGTGGAACGTGCAACAAGTGTTTTGGGAGCCATAGCTACCGCCAGTGCCGGGCATCTGATCACCTTTGTCTGGGGCCCCGGGCTTCGTCTCAAGGCGCCAACTACCAAGAACAGGGCACCTGTGAATCAAGAGAAGAGGTTGCGGTGCAGCTGCAATGAACCTCTATAGCAGGTCCCTGAAAAAGCCCCCTGGAAAAATCGGCTCAGTTCCTGAGGATTCTGGTGGTCGGTGGAAGTGCGTGCGCTGCACTCGACAGGCTCCGCATCCCTGGAAAGTTCACCCGATTCTCCTGGTTGGTAGCTGAATTCCAGTTCCCTGGGCACGGTAATCCTTCCCCCTTTGCCTTCTTCTGGTCGGTTGTTAGCTGAAAAAAACTTTTTCCAGCTCCCTGGGCGCGGGCGACGTGTTCATGCCAAGATGGTGTGAGTTTTTCAGAGGGCTGCTGCACGTGCTGGACAGAGCGATCATGCCGATGCTTGCGTTGAAGAACAAGGTACACAAGCGACAAGCAATCATCTTGCTGGGTACTTTAGCTGTGCCGTGAGGCATGGTGGGCAACCTGCCTTGCCGGGTATGGCATGCCATAGCTTGCAAGGGGACATATCTATACACATCCTGCCTTCTTCTGGTCGGTTGCCAGCCGAAGAAAATCTTTTGCCGCTCCCTGTGCATGGTAATCCTTCCCCATATGATTTCTTCTGGTCGGTTGTTAGCTGAAGAAAAAATCTTTTTCCAGCTCCCTAGGCGTGGTAATCCTTCCCCACAAGCCTTCTTTTTGTCGGTTTTGAGCTGAAGAAAATCTGTTGCCAGCTCCCTGGGCGCGGTAATCCTTCCCCCTTTGCCTTGGATTCTGGTCGGTTGTTAGCAAAAGAAAGTCTCTTTCCAGTGGAAATGGTAGCCTGGCAATGTTTCCCATATGCCTGAAGAAACTCTTTTTCCAGCTTGGACTTGGCTGTTGTTATTATGTGTTATTGCACGCTGCCAAGTTTTGGATTCACAGGTCGGAGATGGAAACAATCATGCCTTGTTTGGGGTGTGGCTGAAGCAGATGTTCCGAGCCCAACAAACCGTGCCCCCACCCTACCACCTTGCAAGCCACGCTATAGCGGTCAGGTCTGTTGTCAATCTGTGAGACTCCGCAAAGCCGTTCGCATTATACGACTGTGCACGCAAGCATCGACGGCAAGCTCGAACGAGCACTCGACAATCACATTGACATCATCATCATCATGATGATGATGATGATGATCATCATCATCATCAAGCAAGCAGATCCTGCAGTCCCTCCAGTTTATGAGGGGTTGGGCCAAGAGGGGCGAGACCCTCCACGAAAGGCACCGCTTCGGCAGATGCCAGGTAACAGATGCAAGAAACCGCAAACCCATTGCACATTCACTCTTCACTCTCATCTTCTTTGCGAGCCAAACTTCTCACATACGTGGCCCAGGCGGGCCTCTGCACCCAAACTTAGACAAGCTCCGCAGATTTCTGCGCGCACTTCCAACCGCGCATCCGTTGCCGAAAGTTGGGCACGGATCTTCAAAAGGGTGGGGTTGTGAGAAGAGCTCCCAGCATCACCTGAAAGTACAGTGATTGAGGGAGGAGGAGGAAGCCTGCGGAAGCCTGTGACAGGTTCTCTTCATGGTCGCAGACTTCGTCGGAGCCAGCATCGTCACCAACAGCTTCAATCCCATCGTGGTCCTTCAGCCTGCTTCATTGATACAGGTTTCACGCTTGCGTTTGGCAGCGAAGCAGTAGCAGTAGCACAGACAGCGAGCGAGATCTGAAAAAACAACGTGGCGAGCAAGGTTACGGCTCTCTGCGCAAGCGGTTTGCCAAGGTTGCAACATGCACAACGTGTTGTTGGCGGGCCATGCTGGTGAGCAGTGTTTCTTTCTTTTCACACATTGCCCTTTGGTTTCCATATTGTTCTTATTGGTTGGAATGGTTGCACCCTTTTGTCCATATATTCTCAAACGCACTCTGCAGTAGTCAGAGAGTTGGTCCGTAGCATTGGGGACATGGCGGAGTTCGGGTGTGAATTCTACATGTGGGACCCCTGTCGGTGTTGGTGTGGCCCGCAGGCTATTGCAGCATTGCTCTGCAGTTTGGAGTAGAAATCGCATTTGTGAGTCAGTTCCGTCTGGAGTTTGCAAGTTTGCCACTGCTCCACAGCAGCGAAACGGCTGTTCTGTCAGCGTAGGCATGGGCTTGTGTTCAGTGGGACCCCCTGCGGAAAATCATTCAAGACTTGCAAACTCTTCTCTTGGCTTGGTGGATGTTGTGAACTCAAAAATGCACGGTGTGGCTGACCAATGTCACCCTAACAGCGCGTCGAGAATGGGTGCAATCATGCAAGCGTCGAATTTTTGTTGTCTGCTCTCGGACTTGAATGGCGACTCAGAAGCTTCGACAACATGCGACGATAGTTCTGTATGTTCGGTCGCATCTGTCCAACCTTGCAAGGACCATCAGTGTTGTGAAATTCGACGCCTCCCCAGTGGCAGTGTGAAATCACTGTCCGCTTGCGCACTGCCCGCCAAGCTGGAGCACACTACGCACGTCAGGACGACGCTGTGATAAAGATCGCAGTTCACGTTCAAGGATCTCTACGTTGAGAAGCCAAGTCCACACGGCCTTGATGGCTGCGACCCTCGCAGCTTCTTTGTGGGTGAATCCTTCAATTCAGCTCGGTGCCATGTCCATGCTCACAGTCAAAGTGAGACAGGTCTTCTCCCTCCGAACTTCACAAGCTTGTGAGCTGCGCTGCAAAGGCTCCAAGAGAAACTCGCTTTTGAACGTTCCAAAAGGCCGAGGCCATCTGAGTTTGGCCAGGCCTGTTCTCTGTTTCCCAGCCTACTCATAAGTCATCGGGCATCCTGTGGGCATCCATGCAAACAGCACGCGCTGGGCCGATGCTTTCAAGGGCTTGAAACGAATTTGGTGACGTTTCGCGATGTTGGGTTTTGGCTTGCGGGCAAACATGGTTGCGACGCTTCCTGAAGCTCACAATTAGTCAGGAACGCTGTCGTGGTTTTTCCCGAAGCTGTATTCCATTGAGGTCGCGCCTTTGCCGGGGGGGGAGGGGGGGGCACACTTAATTCAACTTCCAGCAGAGCTCCGAAACGATTTGAGCATTGCGCTTGGCATTGAAGCGAGGCCACCATCCATTATATCACTACTGACAGTAGGCACCATCGCTTACTGGGACGGGAAAACACATCAGAACCTGTTCTGTGAGTTCCAAAGTATGTTGCAGTCTTGGCTCCGAGTGTTTCACGAAGATTCCATTGTTCCAAGTTAGCCGAAGTTATCCTTGGTAAAGGCTTTGGCGAAAGCCTTTGCAGACCTAAGCGCACCGCAGCTTTTGCCACTGCAGAGCCGTGCCGTAGCTTGTTTCAGATCAGACTTGTGTGGCGAGCTCTCTCGTGCCGTCCCGCATATGTCCGCGTCAGGCGTTGCAGGCGACGCTGACGTGTGTGTGTGTGTGTGTGTGTGTGTGACCGGAGACGTGCTGCTTCTGAAAGCTAAGGATTTCGCTAAGATCCCATGGTGGCAAACACTATGATGATGTGGCTGCTGCTGCTGCTGGCAGGCCCTCTGCGCGCAGATTCTTGCTTAACGGTTGGACTCTTAGACTCTTTGAGGTAGGTGCCCGCCCCGTTGCCTGTCCGCCCTCGCCCTCCCCTCACCCTGCAGGTGCCAACGCAGATTCTCATGATTCTCTTCCTGCAGGCCAGCTCGGAGTGTGTGGCCCAGTGCAGGCCTTGTAGAGTTTGCAGGAGCTTTGCTTTGGACAGCCAGGACTCGCGGATTTCCAGCACCTGTCCTGCGACTTCGAGCACGGCCTGTGCGCCTGGACCACTACCACCAGCGCAACCCTGGTCAATGCCACCGCTTCCGCCCATGCAGGGCACGGCTTCCTTCGTGCCACCACCAACTCTTCCGAGGGATACGCCTCCATCTTGGAGAGCATTTTCGTGGCCACTGAGAAGCCGATGGCCTTGGCCTTTGCCTTTCAACGTACCGGCTCGGACGACAACACTTTAGAGGTTCAGGGCCAAGCAGCGGGCGCCAACTGGACCAGCTTGTGGCAGCCCATGGGCAGCCAGGGCCCCGCGTGGCAGGAGGCAATCCTGGAAGTCCCAGCCGGCACCACCGCCCTGCGCTTCGTCGCGAGGCCTGCTGCCGCAGGCGACTCCGTGCAGCTGGATTCCTTTCTCCCGCTCAACACGGCCGCGGGCCCCGAGAACGTGAGCTGCGACTTTGCGGAGGATGCGTGCGGATGGGTTCCTGGAGAGGCGGGTGTGTTGCAGAGTGTGACCTTCCTCGCTCTAACATTCAATCAAGGTGTAGTGCGGGCTCCAGGCAAAGAGGCTGACTGGAAAATAGGGAAGAAGGGACGGGAAGGGGTTGCATGCAAGGTTTGTGTTCCACAAAGCTCCCGCCATCGCTGCGCTGTTTCCAGGCCTGGTGGCATACCTTTTGGGGGGCGATGGTTTGGAACGGCGGCGCCGACAAGGCAGGTGCTTGCGACACCTTGCACTTCTCTTGTGGGAGCTGCTTCCCGGCGCTGCAGGTCTCTGCCTTGACTTCTCCGTGGTTTACAAGAGGTTCTGCCGGTGCCCTGCACTTCAAAGGTTACGTCGTTGGGTACCCCAGCCTGCAGCTGGAATACTTTGCTGCTGAGACGGGCTGGATCCCGTTGTCACGAATTGTGCAAGAGGGGCCATTGGATTGGGTTGCAGGCTTGCCACCAGAAGCCGAAGTCCTGCGATTCCTGGTTGGGTTTTTGATTGGGTTTCATGTCTCGATCGAGAGCGTTCGCTTCGGCCCTGTGGATTTCCGGCGCCTGTCTTGCACCTTCGAGCACGGGCTGTGCGCCTGGACCGGCCTCTCCAATGCAACCCTGGAAACTGACACCGCTTCGGCCAATTCAGGGCACGGCTTCCTTCGCGCCACCTCCAACTCTTCCGAGGATCACACCTCTGTCTTGGAGAGCATTTTCGTGGCCACTGAGAAGCCGATGGCCTTGGCCTTCGCCTTTCAGCTTGCCGGCTCAGACGCCAACACCTTGGAAATTCAGGGCCAGAGCACGGGCGCTAACTGGACCAGCTTGTGGCTGCGCACGGGCAGCCAGGGCCAGGGCCCCGTATGGCAGGAGGCAATCCTGGAAGTCCCTGCCGACACTGCTGCCCTGCGCTTCGTCGCGAGGCCTGCTGCCGCTGGCGACTCCGTGCAGCTGGATTCTTTTCTTGCGCTCAGCACTGTCGCGAGCCCCGAGAACGCCAGCTGCGACTTTGAGGGGGACTTGTGCGGCTGGACCATGGGCGGCATGGAGGTCGAGGCGAGTTCTTGCACTGTCGCTTTGATCTGGAGTGTGTTGTGTTGATATTGTGCATGAGTCACATCTTAAAAGTTGTGAATTTCGAGAGGCCTGGCGGCTGCGTGGACCCTCTAGTCGCAACCCATACGTGGCAGCGCGCGGCTTTCAGTACATTTACCTGGAGGCTGACGGGCTTCCTCCACACCAGGCTTGGCATGCTTCCTTTCAGCGCTGCATGCATTCGAGCTGTCCTTGCCCAAAAGAGGATCCCTGTGGCAGGCTTTTGCTCTGACCAGCCCCCTCTTCAACGGCTCCGCCGGCATCCTGCGGTTCTTCGTGTACATGTCCAATGAAGGTGCATCCTGGGCTGACATTGGTAGTTTGGAGTTGCAGTACTTCGACGGCACAAGCTGGATCTCGCTGTGGAGGGCATCGGAAGACCAGCGCCCTGCCTGGAAGCCGGCAGTCGCGTTCTTTCCGCCGGGAGCGCAGGCCTTGCGCTTCGTCGGCGTCGTGGGCGATGGCATCGATCGGAACAGTGATACGGCCATCGACGGCATAGCTTTCGGAGATATCACTGATATCACCTTCTCGGACCTGTCTTGCACCTTCGAGCACGGGCTGTGCGCCTGGACCGGCCTCTCCAATGCAACCCTGGAAACTGACACCGCTTCGGCCAATTCAGGGCACGGCTTCCTTCGCGCCACCTCCAACTCTTCCGAGGGTCACACCTCTGTCTTGGAGAGCATTTTCGTGGCCACTGAGAAGCCGATGGCCTTGGCCTTCGCCTTTCAGCTTGCCGGCTCAGACGCCAACACCTTGGAAATTCAGGGCCAGAGCACGGGCGCTAACTGGACCAGCTTGTGGCTGCGCACGGGCAGCCAGGGCCAGGGCCCCGTATGGCAGGAGGCAATCCTGGAAGTCCCTGCCGACACTGCTGCCCTGCGCTTCGTCGCGAGGCCTGCTGCCGCTGGCGACTCCGTGCAGCTGGATTCTTTTCTTGCGCTCAGCACTGTCGCGAGCCCCGAGAACGCCAGCTGCGACTTTGAGGGGGACTTGTGCGGCTGGACCATGGGCGGCATGGAGGTCGAGGCGAGTTCTTGCACTGTCGCTTTGATCTGGAGTGTGTTGTGTTGATATTGTGCATGAGTCACATCTTAAAAGTTGTGAATTTCGAGAGGCCTGGCGGCTGCGTGGACCCTCTAGTCGCAACCCATACGTGGCAGCGCGCGGCTTTCAGTACATTTACCTGGAGGCTGACGGGCTTCCTCCACACCAGGCTTGGCATGCTTCCTTTCAGCGCTGCATGCATTCGAGCTGTCCTTGCCCAAAAGAGGATCCCTGTGGCAGGCTTTTGCTCTGACCAGCCCCCTCTTCAACGGCTCCGCCGGCATCCTGCGGTTCTTCGTGTACATGTCCAATGAAGGTGCATCCTGGGCTGACATTGGTAGTTTGGAGTTGCAGTACTTCGACGGCACAAGCTGGATCTCGCTGTGGAGGGCATCGGAAGACCAGCGCCCTGCCTGGAAGCCGGCAGTCGCGTTCTTTCCGCCGGGAGCGCAGGCCTTGCGCTTCGTCGGCGTCGTGGGCGATGGCATCGATCGGAACAGTGATACGGCCATCGACGGCATAGCTTTCGGAGATATCACTGATATCACCTTCTCGGACCTGTCTTGCACCTTCGAGCACGGGCTGTGCGCCTGGACCGGCCTCTCCAATGCAACCCTGGAAACTGACACCGCTTCGGCCAATTCAGGGCACGGCTTCCTTCGCGCCACCTCCAACTCTTCCGAGGGTCACACCTCTGTCTTGGAGAGCATTTTCGTGGCCACTGAGAAGCCGATGGCCTTGGCCTTCGCCTTTCAGCTTGCCGGCTCAGACGCCAACACCTTGGAAATTCAGGGCCAGAGCACGGGCGCTAACTGGACCAGCTTGTGGCTGCGCACGGGCAGCCAGGGCCAGGGCCCCGTATGGCAGGAGGCAATCCTGGAAGTCCCTGCCGACACTGCTGCCCTGCGCTTCGTCGCGAGGCCTGCTGCCGCTGGCGACTCCGTGCAGCTGGATTCTTTTCTTGCGCTCAGCACTGTCGCGAGCCCCGAGAACGCCAGCTGCGACTTTGAGGGGGACTTGTGCGGCTGGACCATGGGCGGCATGGAGGTCGAGGCGAGTTCTTGCACTGTCGCTTTGATCTGGAGTGTGTTGTGTTGATATTGTGCATGAGTCACATCTTAAAAGTTGTGAATTTCGAGAGGCCTGGCGGCTGCGTGGACCCTCTAGTCGCAACCCATACGTGGCAGCGCGCGGCTTTCAGTACATTTACCTGGAGGCTGACGGGCTTCCTCCACACCAGGCTTGGCATGCTTCCTTTCAGCGCTGCATGCATTCGAGCTGTCCTTGCCCAAAAGAGGATCCCTGTGGCAGGCTTTTGCTCTGACCAGCCCCCTCTTCAACGGCTCCGCCGGCATCCTGCGGTTCTTCGTGTACATGTCCAATGAAGGTGCATCCTGGGCTGACATTGGTAGTTTGGAGTTGCAGTACTTCGACGGCACAAGCTGGATCTCGCTGTGGAGGGCATCGGAAGACCAGCGCCCTGCCTGGAAGCCGGCAGTCGCGTTCTTTCCGCCGGGAGCGCAGGCCTTGCGCTTCGTCGGCGTCGTGGGCGATGGCATCGATCGGAACAGTGATACGGCCATCGACGGCATAGCTTTCGGAGATATCACTGATATCACCTTCTCGGACCTGTCTTGCACCTTCGAGCACGGGCTGTGCGCCTGGACCGGCCTCTCCAATGCAACCCTGGAAACTGACACCGCTTCGGCCAATTCAGGGCACGGCTTCCTTCGCGCCACCTCCAACTCTTCCGAGGGTCACACCTCTGTCTTGGAGAGCATTTTCGTGGCCACTGAGAAGCCGATGGCCTTGGCCTTCGCCTTTCAGCTTGCCGGCTCAGACGCCAACACCTTGGAAATTCAGGGCCAGAGCACGGGCGCTAACTGGACCAGCTTGTGGCTGCGCACGGGCAGCCAGGGCCAGGGCCCCGTATGGCAGGAGGCAATCCTGGAAGTCCCTGCCGACACTGCTGCCCTGCGCTTCGTCGCGAGGCCTGCTGCCGCTGGCGACTCCGTGCAGCTGGATTCTTTTCTTGCGCTCAGCACTGTCGCGAGCCCCGAGAACGCCAGCTGCGACTTTGAGGGGGATGCAGGCTTGCTCGGCTTCGGCACTGAGGGGTACTTGTGCGGCTGGACCATGGGCGAGGCAAGAGACCGCCACACTGTCTTCATGTTGGCAACATTAATTTGAGAGGGGCGACTTGCACAGGACTAGGCGAGGCAGGTACTGTGTGTTTACTGTTGTTGGATCTCGAATCGATTCCATATCGGAAATGCTCTGTGGCGTCGCTATCGCGTAGCCTCTCATCGGGTCCATGCCACGTCGTTTTCTGCAAAGTTCATGCCTTGCTTGAGGTTTCGTCGCTCTTCCGCTTTCTAGAACAGAGTCTACATGCAGTTCCTCTTGCATGCCATGCTCTGTCTGACTGTCTGACAGAGTCTGAGTGTAGAAGATTTTTGGCAGCTCACTTCAGCAATCAGGTGGCATCGTGGGGCCACCTTCCACACTATGACTTCGCATGGAGCAGCCCTCTGTTCCTGGCTTCAGGGCCCATCGCCGTGCAATTCAACTTCACGGCCGCCAACATGTGGGACCAGGGTATTTTGGAGCTACAGTTCTTGGAATCAGAGGTGTGGTGGTCCGCCTGGTCTCGTGAAGACAAGCACCTGGTGAAGTTCATCACCCTCCCGGCGGGATCGGAGTCGCTTCGATTCGTAATGCAATTGCGCTCGACTATTCAGATTTCGTACGTGCATCTGCACGAAGCCCGCCCCTTCCTGACCCTTGCCGCTGGAAACGCCCAGACCTGTGCACTCTTGTCAAGCACCGGCCAGGTCAAGTGCTTCGGTGGAAGTGCAAGCTGGACTTATCACATGGGCAGCGACCTGCCTCCCGTGGACCTCGGCCCTAGTGCCGAGGCGCTACAGGTTTCCTGCAGGGCAGGTCACCGCTGTGTATTGCTACGGGGGGGCGGTGTCAAGTGTTGGGGTCAGGGGAACACCGGCCAGCTGGGGTCCGGCAGCAGCTCGGCTATCGGTGATGGTCTCGACTTGCGTCTGGTGGATCTTGGCGGGGCCGACGCTGTGCAGGTCGTGGTCGGAGATCTGCACAGCTGTGCGCTGCTGGAAGGTGGCAACGCCACGTGCTGGGGCTATAACCACTATGGCCAGCTTGGACAAGGCGATCAAGAAGACCGTGGGGACGAACCTGGTGAGCTGGGGAGTGCCCTGCCGACCATCGACCTGGGCCACGACTTCAGGGTGGTGGCGCTCGCAGCTGGGGCTTCTCACACCTGCGCACTTTCGGATGAAGGGGAAGTAAAATGCTTCGGAGCCGGAGAGTATGGTCAGTTGGGGCAGGGCAACCCGAACAGTATTGGGATTGCGCCCGGCCAGATGGGGGAGGCCCTGCCTGCCATTAGCCTTGGAGCGCCGGCCATGCAGATCACAGCTGGTTCTGGACACAGCTGCGCCCTTTTGAAGGGCGGCCCTATTAAGTGTTGGGGCCGCAACAATTTGGGCCAACTGGGCCAGGGCCACGTGGACAACGTCGGCGATGAGCCGGGCGAGCTGGCCCAGATGCCCGCAATCTCACTGGGTGAGGGTGTCCGGGCCACTCGCGTAGTTTCTGGTTACACTCACACTTGCGCGATTTTGCAGGACGAAAGTTTGCAGTGTTGGGGCAGCAATGGTTGGGGACAATTGGGCCAAGGCATGGTGTCCACTGGCGTCGGCACTGTGGCCGGCGACATGGGCAACGCACTGCAACGTGCAATGGTTGGGCCACACCGGGTGCGGGAAGTGGCTGCAGGGAGCGGCCACACCTGTGTGCTGCTCAGTGATGACACCACACGCTGCTTTGGCTGGAACGATTTCGGTCAGTTGGGGACCGGCTTTTCTACCATGGTGACACAAGCCAGCCAACTGGGCCTGGCACTGGTGGCGGCGGAGCTCTTCACACCGACGCCGCGCGACAAGTGGGGAGGCCTCCGCTTGCACCCCTCGAATGGCGGCTTCACATCCCCGAGTTGCGGGTCGTGGTGCAGCTGGTACCCCCCGCAATATGATGGTTACAGCGTAGGCTGGTTGGAAGTTTGGAATGGTGGCAGCTGGGGTCTCATCTGTGATGATGGCTGGTTTCGTGCTTCTGCTGCTGCTGCTGCTCGGGCTGGGAGTTGGTCACAATAGAATAGAAACAAGTGCTGCAAGCAGACGGCAACATATGAAGCCTTTCAGTCATTTCCGCGACATTCCGCGAACCATGAGGGCTTGCAACATACGCAAGAGTCGCAAGATTGAACGGAAGCCAAGCTGAGGTGGCTTGCAAGGATCTGGGGCTAGCAGGCGGAAAATCACTCGTCTTTGATGTTGGGGCGGGCGACTTCCACATGGATGAGGTCCACTGCACTGGCGCCGAAGCCAGCCTCCAGGACAATAGTCAAACATAGTCAGGGCCTTAGGGTTGTTATACATTAGCGTGTCATTTCTGGAAGGGATTCTATGGTCAAAGTTGTCGTGAGTGTTCCAGGACTGCAGCTTTCGGGGCTGGGGAGTGCACGACTGCGCTCCAAGCGAGGCGGCAGGCACGAAGCTTTTCTCAGCCCTTGGTGTGTCAGAGTTGTAGCAAAATGAAGACAAGCTCACAAGCCTTGGCAGGTGTGCAGTGTGATTGGGAAGGCTGGGGCGAGTTCACTGTCCCTGGGCCATCCGCCCGACAGGGCCACAGCATCGTCTGGCATGCTTTGAAGGAGTCGGCGCTGCTCTTCGGTGGCCATGCAAGCACTCGATTCGAGTACTTCGACGACGCGTGGCGCTACAGCTGGCCTTCCCGATCCTGGTCGCAAGTCACTGTGGTCGGCACAGGCCCCGGAGCCAGGTTCGGCCATACAGCCGTGTGGGACTCGACCACGCAGGCCATGCTGGTCTATGCCGGGAAGCAGTTCGAGACCTTCAAGGCCGACCTCTGGCGCCTGGCAGATGGCGCGACTCCCCATTGGCACGGGCTGCTTCCCCAGAATCCTCCAGGAGCCCGTGCTGAACACACTGCCATTTGGGACACAGCCACGCAGACGATGCTCATCTTCGCCGGAGAGAGCGGGCAGGCTTTGAACGATATTCACCGATACAGCATGACAGACCACGCGTGGAGCAGATGCACCGATACTTCCGCACCTCCACCTCGGAGTCAACACTCTGCGGTCTGGGACAGTGTGACAAGGTCGATGCTCATCTTTGGCGGATACACAGGCGCGTGCGGCGAGAGCGCTCAAAACCAGGGGTCCTTCTGGGAAGGAGCCCGAGTGATTCCATCGTTGAAACGCTTGGGAATGACCGTTTGTTAGGAAACTTGCGAATGCCGGACTCGCAACGTTTCCCCACCCTCTCTAGTGTCTCCCTGGGCCAGGTGACGGCCAGTACCTGGACGATCTGCATCGTTATGACTCCCCACATGACCGCTGGACAGAGCTGCTGCCAGTGGGAACGCCCTCGCCCAGAGCAGGGCATGCAGCGGCTTGGGACGCCACGACCCTGTCCATGTTCATCTTCGCTGGTGTCGCAAACAGCAGTGGGAACCTTGCCTACGCGTACCTCAGCTGACACACTTTGCGTCGGTTAGTTTGGGGAATCATGGCAGGCTCCAGAACCACATGCATGCTGGGAGTGCCTTGCAGCTTAGGTCGGACTTGCACCGCTACAGCTTGTTGTCTGACTCTTGGGAGAAGTTGCCGGACACGGCGGGCCCATCCGGCCGCGTGGACGCCGCGATGGTGTGGGACGAAAACTCCCATGCGTTGCTGACCTTTGGTGGCCGCCGCGCCGCATATCAAGGAGACCTCTGGCGATTTCTTAACTTACAGAGTCCCTCGCCACATGTGGAGCACTGCCCGGTGGGCCGCCAGTGCGAGTTCGGCGAGTTCGGGGAGCTGGGTGCGGTGGCTTTGCGAAAGTCGTGCGCACAGGCCGCAGTCACGGAGCTCAACTTGACGGCCGGCGTGAACGGTATCGACAGGGAGCCGGGAACGTACAGGCTCTGCGCCTGCAATATTGCAGAATGCAACCAGGTCTCAGACTTCGAGCATCCGCTGTCACTGGTCATCGTGGAGGGGCCGCTCTTCGGGCAGGAGGGCAAATGCTTCCTGAACACCTCCTGCACCATCCCCTTCCGTGGCGTTGGCATCTCGGCAGCGGACCGCGTCGTGGCCAGGAGCAACTGTGGCTCCGAAGCCGAAGATGCAGTGGAGGCAGAGGCCGCGGCCTTTCGGCAGATCGACGGAAGCCTCTCTATATCCAGTGACCTCCTCAGCGACGCCTTCGTGCTGTCTGTCCTGCCAAACCTGCCGGGGCCACGAACAGTGGAGATCTGCTGGTGCCCGGCCAACCGCACCTGCGCCTCCGAGGAGGACTTCGCCGCCAGGCTGCTGCGGTTGCACGTCGGCTGCCCTCCGGGTACCTACGAATCGCAAGGGGCCTGTGACGAATGCCCAGCGGATCATGTCTGCCTCGGCGGCGTCGGAAAGCAGAGGTGTCCCTACGAGAGCTCCGCACCCATCGGCTCCAGTTGGCTCCCCAGTCTTCCATCAATTCACAAGGGTTCAGCGTGTGTGTGTGTGTGTGTGTGTGTGTGTGTGTGTGTGTGTGTGTGTGTGTGTGTGTGTGTGTGTGTGTGTGTGTGTGTGTGTGTGTGTGTGTGGGTGTGTGTGTTGGGTGTGTGTGTGTGGTTGTGTGTGTGTTGGTTGTGTGTGTTTTGGTTGTGTGTGTGTTGGTTGTGTGTGTGTGTTGTGTGTGTGTGTGTGTGTGTGTGTGTGTGTGTGTGTGTGTGTGTGTGTGTGTGTGTGTGTGTGTGTGTGTGTGTGTGTGTGTGTGTGTGTGTGTGTGTGTGTGTGTGTGTGTGTGTGTCCCAAAAGTCATCATGACTCGTGTCTTCTTGTGCCTGCTGAGGCGACTTGGTGCAGTGCAACTGCTCGGCAGGATTCTATTGGAGCCTGGACAGCTGCATGGCGTGCCCTTTCGGGTCCTCCACGCCGCTGCCCGGCTCCAGATCGTCCACGGACTGCCAGTGCCTTCCGAGCACGGAGCCGAAAGGAAGCAACTGCGAATGTCGCGCGGGCTATGGCCATGAAGGCTCAGGTTGCCTCCTTTGTGAAGAAGGCTTCTACAAGCCGGACGTGGGCAACAAGCCTTGCAGCCTTTGCCAGAACCAGAGGGAGAACACGATGACGCAGAAGAAGGGGGCTACTTCTGCTGCAGAGTGTCACTGCCGGCCAGGCTTTGAGGACCGCAGCGGCACCTGCGAACCTTGCCCTCTGGGCATGTTCTGCAATGGGACTGGCGAGGCCTTCCCGTGCCCGGTGGGCGCCACCACGATCGCAGAAGGTGCAGAGATGTCGGAGGAGTGCGTGTGCCAGAGAGGCTTCTACTTGTTCAATCACTCCTTCTGCAAACCCTGCCAAGAAGGGTTCTACAAGGAGAGCCTTGGCAACGACGCCTTCTGCCCGCAGTGCCCCACGAATGCCAACGGCCCATTGAACTCCACGAGCCCTTTGAACTGCTTCTGCGAAGCGGGCTTCTATGCAGAGGTGGACGTGGAGCAGGGCTTCATCACGCGATGCGTCGACTGCGGTGCCCTTTCGGACATGAACTGCGCCGGCGGCCTCGAGGACTTCAGGCTCTTGAACGACACCGGGCGCCATGCCCTCCCGTTGGCCACAGAGGGGTTCTATCAGACCGGGAAGGCCATCGCCATCAAGTGCCGAGTGAAGACCCAGGAGGGCTCCAGCACCTGCCTTGGCAGCGAGCTGCTCAGGGCAGCATGCACGGTAGGTGAGGACGGTGAGGACTCAGACTGCCCGGACGACCGCCTTCTCGGCAACCGCTGCGCCGTCAACTCCCAGGGGATGCTCTGCGCGGAGTGCCCACCGAGCTTTGCCAGGGACAGTTTCCAGGCACCATGCCGCGAATGCCAGGAGACAGAGCTTGCGATGGCCATCTCGCTTCTCCTGGATGTTTCCGCCAAGGCGGCCGTAAATTTCGTGGTGGCCTCCATGGCAGCCACCGCGGCGGTACGAGGCAGTGGGAAGCTCCACACGTCGATGATCCGCATGGCCAACCAATGGCTCGCAGCCTGCTCCGTGATTGGATCCTTTGATCTGGACCAGCTCCGCAACATTTTCATGCCGGAGACCGGAGGTCCCAGCTTTGAAGGCGGCGAGGTCTTCCCATGGCCGTCCTGGGTGAGGGATGCCATGAGGGACTTCTTGGAATTCTTCTCGCTGCTCCGGCTCCAGGTCTCCATACACTTCGCCGTCCAGTGCTTTGCAGAGAAGCGGATGCTTGCGCTGTTTGCTGGCGAGTTGGGGCCGGGGTCCGTCGCCAAGGCCAAGAACACGGCCCTGGGAATTTACTTCCTGGCCCTGCCCGTGCTGACCACGCTGGCCTCCGTGATGCTCTCGGCCCTGGCCGCCTACGTCCTCGTCCCTTTTGCCAAGCGCCGAGGCTATTCCTTCAACGAGGCAGACCGCAGGAGGAAGGCCAAGGCCAAGGCACTGAGAGAACTGCACCAAAGCTTGGTGACGCTGTTGGAGAGCTGTGGGCTGAGCTGGGAGGACGTGGAGGACTCGGGCCTCGTCGACGTGAACCTCGCAACGTTGCAGCAGGCGCTGGAGACCAAGGAGGCTCCCGGCCGCTTCCTTCAACGCGGCGTCGCCAACTCACCCCAGCTGCTTCTGAAGGCTCTCCAGGGCTTGGCGCGCCGGAAGGGCCGGCGCCTCAAGAGCCAGCCGCCCGAGGCCACCGCACTTAGCGAGGTTGCAGAGCGGGAGTTGGCAAAGTCCTCCGACTTCTCCACCTTCCTGGAAAGGGTGCTGGTGGACGTCCGCAAGCCCGATGAGCCCGAGAAATTTGAGGAGCCCGAGGAGCCCGAGGAGCCGCGGGAGGAGAACGCTGAGGCCAAAGCCCCGAAGCTGGCGCGCTACGAGCCGCTTGGATCCGTCAGGTGTCATTGTGTTTGGGGCTCTTCTGTGTGTCTGCGTGTGTGTTTCCGGCTGCTTTGACTGCTGCACTGCTCTGTAGCACAGCGTACGGCCAAGGACAGTGCAGACAATCAACCTCGACCGGGACCTGGACGTGGATGCAGAGATGGACTCCCTGGACTTCGGCCTGTTCCATACCAAGCCGAGCCCATGGCAGCTGATTCGCGAGAGCATGCCAATCGTTTGGATCGGCTTGGTGTCCATTTGGCCCGTGTTACTGTCCGGGTTCCTTCGGCTGTTGTGGTGCGTGCCATTTGAGGTGGACGAGGGCAAGACTTCCTATCGCCTCCTTCCCAACCCCGACATCGTGTGCGAGTCTGGATCGGATGAGTCAGATGCCTACGGCCTGCCGGCGAGGATCGCGGTGTCAGGGCTGATGCTGTGGTGCATCGGGATCCCCTTAGCCCTGGTGCTGAGGGTGCTTTGGCTCTCCGACCGCCAGGCGCCCGACACCCAGAGGAGGTACGGCTACTTCATACAGGCCTCCCGGGGGTCCGGAGAGGATTGTTGTAGACTCAAAGAAGCTGCGAAAGTACAATTTGTAGATGTTACATGATGTTGCAGATGTGTCTAGCAGTATGGCGGGTTCAGCTTGCGATGTGGCAGGGCTACGAGCCTCAATTCTGGTACTGGGACCTTTTGGTGAAGCGTGCAGACGTTGGGCTGATGATGCTGTTCACGTACACCGCCATCATTCCGGCTTCAGAAGCGAAGCTTCTGCTCTTCCCGGTGCTGTCCGGGGTTCAGGTCATTGCCACAGCCTGGCTGAAGCCATTCATCAACAACCAGGCAGAGATCCTTGACATGTTAGATGTCCTTTTGGGCACCGTGCGGTTCATCCTTTTCAGCTCTGTCGCGGCCCTTTTGATCCTGCGGCCGGGGGAAGAGGCAACTCACGTCATGGCAGTGCTGCTGCTGTGCATGCTGGTTGCCTCATTCTCTTATCTGCTTGTGCACATCGTCACGCAGTTCTTACGGCACGCGGCCGTGCAACAGCCTACAGGGGGGACCGGGATGCTGGCAAAGCTCGGTGCCGCGGCCAAATGTTACCGTTTAATCTTGGCGTAGCATTTTGGGGTAGAGGGAGAGGAAAAGGCATGGGACTGAGCAGGGGAGAGTATTCCGACCAGGCTGGCTTCAGCGTGCTGCTCTTCGCTTGGTCCTGCCTGCATTTCAGCAAGCCGCCGGCGAGAATATCGAGGTGTCTTGGTCCTTCGAGGACAGCTTGCTGTTGGCCCCCATCTCGAGCTCGTGTGTGCCAATTGACGCGACCTTCAGGGACGATATGCGTGCCCTGGCATAGAAGATCACGGAGTAACTAGTATGTATAGCTACAAACAGCATGTTGAGCACGCTGTTTGTAGCGACATCTGTGCATGCAGAAGCCGCGAGCCTACATCCAAATGCACGAGCTGAGGCCTCAAGACGTGGCAGACCATGCGCAGCCTGCGGGCGGGAATGCTGCGCTTCGGCCCAGCCCACCAGGATGCCGTGATTCTCAAAGCCACCGAAGACTTCACTGATTTCGTGCTTCATCAGCTAGACCACCGTGAGCTCCATTGTGAGGGCATGAAGCATCTTTGTGTTCTGGCAACTGCCAACCGAAATCTACCCCACAGCTTGGCAAAGAGCCGTGTGGGCAAGGCATGGCTGTTGGCCGTGCTGGACTTGGTGGATGTCAAACACGACAAGCACCCATGCACTCCCGAAGACCTGGAGCGTGCCATAGGAAGCCTGGCCCAGATGCCCAAGGAGGATGCCAGCAGGCTGATCCAGAGCGTGGCCAGGGTCTGTGCAGAGTGTGCTGCGGGAAGGCAAATCAAGATGTTCAAGGCTGATTCCAAGAGGCTCATCGCCAAGATCTGCACAGAGCAGGTTGCAGAGAACGTTGCCGAGCACATTGCAGAGCAATTCGCACAGCGCGTGAGATGCCAAACTGCAGAGCTGGAGGGCAGGGCATACAGGGCGCCTCCGGACGAGCACAACAAGGCCCCTGCAAAGACTTCTGCTTAAGCCAAGCACCTCCAACATCGGCCCGGAAGTAGCCTCCGGAATAGGCTGTAAAGGTTTGGTGGGCAGCTCCCGCGGAGTTCCCGCAGGCGACCTGGGCTATTGATCTCCGGCAGCTGCTGGTCTCCGAGTGGGACGCTGCGGCAGAGGACCATTCTGCAACATTCTGCAAAACTAGGGTGGAAGTTGGATGGAGCCTGTATAGTCATTTAGTCAAATTTAGTCCAAAATTTAGTTTTGAAGAGGAGGAGAATGGAGCGAATCTCCAAGAGGTCGGGGGACTCGGTGCCTGCATGTGCGTTTTGGACGCTCTCTGGGCGCTGTTTTGGGCACATGTCTGAACTCTGGACTCTTGGACTGCAGCTCCGTGGCTCTTGCAGGGCACCGCCATACGCACCTCCACGGCCCAAGGCCCGTGTGCTCCAAAGGGACCGCAAGGAGTTTGCACAGAGTTCCTTTGTAGCGCTGCCCAATGCCAGGGCTGGAGACGGTGGACTTGTCGGAGGGAAAGGCGGGCAGACGCATCTTCGGGTTTTCAGCGGCTTTGCACAAAGGCTCTGTGGACCAGCATGGTCCGCGCAGTAGGCAGTTCGACGTCTTCTTCGTACCGTTCCAATGACTGTTCGAATGATCTCCAGCATGAATTGAAACCAGAAACCCTTAAGAGAGGACCGCCCCGGGAGAACCTGTGGTTCAGGTGGATTTGATGGTTGCCGGTTTCGAGCTTCTGTTGGTCCTACCACTTTAACTTGAGCGGCGCTGTTAACGGTTATGGCCGGCTTTCAGGCCCTTCAGTAGACCAATCAAGGGAACCCCAAAGCCAACTCCTCATGGCAGATGCCAAGCTTGCTTGTTTTCCGACCAGAATGAAATCCAGCTCGGGTGTGGGGCTAGTTTAATTCTGGTCCTTGGGGCTTAGGGCTTAGGGCTTGTTGGGAGGGACCAGTCCCAGGCTCACTAGCTTGCTGTGTACCATCCGGACGCCTTGCACAGCCTCCATCAGATTCAGCTCACCCTCGGCAACTGAAAGGGCCACTACCCAAATTGCCTCCCGCACCTCCATGAAGTAGGGTGCCGTGCAGTAGCATTTCTCGCTCGATCAAGGGAACACAGGTTGGCCTGCGCAGGTATCAACTATAACTCAGTTTGCTCACCATTCACATCCTCCACCAACGGCTCTTCATCATGAAAAGAATCGGATCGTCCTCTGCCATTCAACCCCCTTCTCCTGCTGGTCATCAGCCAATCGCCTCCATCAGCAAGACCTTGATCTCATTTCTTCATTTCCTTCTCTGAAGTGACAACCCCTTAACAACGGATCGAGACCAGGAAGCTCAAACATCCCTTGTAAATGTCTGAGAGCATTTGATTAGTAGGCTGCGGATTCGAGTGATGTGCACTTGAGAAGCTACCTGGGCCATGCGTTGCTGTAAGTTGGCACAGCTTTCTTCTTCACGCAAGTGACTGGCACGACTCTGCGGACTGCCAGGATCCTTACACCTATCTACAGCCCCGATGACCCCAAAAGCCGCAGCCTTTGAGAGGGGTGTCCGGCCTTGGCAGGAAGAGGAGGAGCAATGTATGGACACTGCAGCCCAGGCCCCTTCGGCTGCGCGGAGTTTCTGGGTGTTGTGTCAAGCTCTCATGTCGAATGCGTTCATTTTTTAATTTGCCGTGCTTGGCCAAGGCGTTGCATCAGAACATGAGCGATCTTCTGGCTACCCAGACAGACGAGGCCGGAATTGTGCAGAAGAGTTGAAGCAAGCCTTGCGCAGCCTTTGGGACGCGGCTTTACTTTGCGGTTCTTGTCGCTGGCCTTCGTCGGTTGCCCTCACTCAGAGGGTTCGCCGTGCCCCCCCCCCCCCCCCCCCCCCTCCTGGTTGATGCGCGCATGCCAAGGTTTGTGGATCCGGCCCTCTAGGCAGTTGCCGCCTTTTGCCCCACATACAGCAACCCAAAACAGGGCTCGACTCTCCGGTCACTTCCAGGGCGTTGCCCTGGACATTTGCGTTCCACGGATGGGGTCAGCAGGCCCTGTGCCAGAAGCGATCTGCGGACATCTTCGGAACTTGAACACGCCAACCTCTAACCCTTGAACCCCCATAGACCTAACCCCGTAAACCCCAAACCACCAAACCCATCCCAAACCCCTTTGGGCTTCCATATCCTCCGGGCTTCTTGCAGGATGATTTGCAGGACGGCCTGCAGGATGACGCGTCCGAGAGCTCTCAGAAAAAAATTCGTTCCATCTGACCGGCGCCGGGCCCCCAGCCGGGGCCGCATCGCTTGGTAGTTCGTAGGGAAGGAAGGAGGGGGTAAGAACCTCAGACTCAGAATCATGCAAGGAATACGCTCTCCCCACGCCTCCGAGCGCCCTCTGTGAAACTCAACAACTCTTGACGGAGGATGGGCCGAAGCGGCTCCACCAGCCCCTTGGCCAACCGCACTCCCCCGCCGGCGTGTGCTCAGAGAGCAGAGATGGAGCAGTCCAAGCCCTAGTTTCTGCCAGTTGCGCTTGGGATAAGGAAGGTTCAAGCGAAGCCCACTTCACAAAAAGGGGTTGGGCTCACTGCCATGGCGGTCTATGTGGGCGCGGGAAGGGATTCCGTTCTGCCCTTCGAGTTGGGGATTGCCCTCGACTCGTGCCAAGGAGGTGGATGCATGATTCGACATGATGCGCGTCGAGCTAAAGACGCTTGGCTAACTCAGAGAGTCGGGTGCGCTGTGCCGCGAACATCCGCGAACCCGTTGGATGACGCTCTTGTTTCGAAGCCATCGCAAAGGCGATAATTGGGCGATTATTGGCTGTGTAGGGGTGGAGGGCCAGATTTGTTAAAAAAGACAGCTCCGAGACGTTTCCGCGACGCGTCATGAAGAGCCTCAAGGTTTGCAAGCAGGTTCTGATAATTTCCATGCAGCCAAGGGTCTTTATCCAAAGCGGATGAGGCCGGAAGAGCTGCCCATATTTGCAACCTCCGGCCCCCAAGTCCCTGTGAGACGTCCGCGTCCCCCCCCCCCCCCCCACCTCTTTGAAAGCACCTTTCAGAAGCCGTGCATCGTTGGGTGTCAACGTTTGGGGTCAGTCTGGGGCAGGGTTTCAGACCTTTTCGTCTCAGTTTGTTCGGGGATGGTTAGTGGCAACTGTGCACTGCACATCAGTCCAGGTCTGACATACGTCAAGAGGCAAGAGTTGTTTGCGGGCCTTTGATGGTAGGTTCATGTGTAGGTACATTGTTGTGGCACAGTGCATAAGACTCCGCAGGCCTGCTCCCACTTCTTCCCGCGTTTTATGAGTGAAGACTATACGCGGGGTTCGCATACTCTTCACATAGCATCATCGTGAGAGCTTGCTGCTAACGAACGGTGCACGGCAGCTCTGTTTCTCCATCTTGACGTGGCTTGCGTGAACACAGTGCTTGCCACCTGAGCTCCCGGCACTGCGAAGCCGGCTGAGCCTCTCACTTTCGTCAAGCTCTCAACATGATGATTCTGCCTTGGGGCGCCCTACATCTAAGTCCATGTCAGAATAGGAGCCCCCAAAGCAGACCCTGCCGTAGTTGCTAGAGAGCTCAGAAGGTGCAACGAACATGTTGCATGCCAGTGCCGGGACGCAGTCCCTTCTGGAAGCCACAAAGCTTGGCCCCCTTTCAAGATGAGGTTCCCACCTGCCTGGCCGCATGGCCGCAGCCCGGAACCGCCAAAGCCATTTGAAGGGCCGTCTGGGACGCAAGTGTTTCAAATCGTCTCCTCTGCCCGGCTGAAGTCCCCCAACATCGTCACATTTGCGGAGCTGCGATGTGGCCAAAATCTTGGAAGCTGCCAATCTTGAGTGGCAATGTTGTTCTTTGGAGCTTTTACTTCGCCAGCTTGTCTGCAAATGGGGCGGTCCTGCAACGCACACAAAATGCAGCAATTCCCCGTTGCCTTTTAGGACCTGGGAAGTGTGGCGAAGAATCTGAGTTCGCAGGTTGGGCTCTGGCTTCTGTAGTTTGGTTCCAGGCGCTGGCATGTTTCCGTCGGGATGCTATTAGCCAGGCTGTCTTCGCATCGTTTGAGGCAATCCGAGGTCAGAGCCCAACTCACAAAAGCCAACGCCTCCGCGGCTAAAGTGCTGCTTCGCGGTTGGAAGAGCTCTATCGTACCCTGGAGCCTGGGCCTAGATCATGCATCGTGGACTTGCAACTCATGTTCTTTGGAAAGCTCGCTCTTGCCGGCCGGGTGTAGCTGTCTGCCAACGAAGCTGTCCTTCAACGTGGGACAAGGATGCAGACAATAGAGGCAGCAACTCCCCGTTGCCTTTTGGGGCCCGGGGAAGTGCAGCGACGAATCTGAATTTGCAGCCGGATTTGGCCTCTGGCCTTTGCGGCCCAATTTCCTTCACTTGCAGGCCTGTGTAGTTTTGGTTCCAGGTGCAAGAATCCGTTGGGATATGTTAACCAGGGGTGTTCCAGCATCGGTTGAGGTGTGTTCCGAGGTCCGAGCCCGAGTCCAAAAGCCAACGCCTCGTTCTGGATGCTCAAATATGCATCCAGGCGATCCCCGCTGAGTTCCGGAAGAACCTAGCCTCCAAAATGAGACTGAGATGTCGTTGAAGCGTCCAGTCGCTGATACCGCCCTGGAAGGAGTAGACTCACCAGCCGGTGTAGATCTGTCAGGCTGCAAGATTGATAAGCTCGGCAAGGTGACCTTTCTTTCTTGCTTTAGCCGCTTTAGTCACTTCTGCCTCTCGGCTCGACATGCCTCCCACATCCCCCCACGATAGATTGACAAGGGCTGGGCACATTCCAGATCCCACACATCCCTGCAGTCATTCTCCGCCCGATGTTGTAGGCAAAGCCCGAAGAGAGCGCGGCAACATGCGGCGACATGGGGGTCATTGAGCTTGATTCACCTCTGTGAGCTACAACCCAACTAGCAGAGCCAGCGCTTTCACCTGCAAGAGATGCCTCTGCTGCGACGTTTGGGATTCAGCTGGCAGAAGCGTGTGCAACCTGTCCGAGCCTGAGAGCTTGAGGTTGCTGCGACAAGGAACCTAAACAATGTCTACAGAATCGGGATTCATAATGAATAACTAGATGAACAAATCAATAAACAGATAAATATCAATATATATATATATGATACATATGTAGTAACCACCCCAAAGAATCAACCTACCTAGATTTTGGGTGGGTTTGCATAATACATATGTTGTACACAAGCATGGGATTTTCTGGTTCATGCGCTGCTTGGTGTGCTGGGTTGCCATCATGGAGCTCTCGTTAGTATACATCCTTTCTTCAAGTTCCTTACCCCCGTGTGGGGGCTGTTGCCCCCAGCCGGCTACGCCCCAGTCAACCGGTTCTGCTAGGGTGCACAGCTCCCCTGTAGGCC